CGTGTAGACTAATATCTGTGGCCTGTGATCTTCTAGTGGTATACGACTTTGCACGTTATCCTGGTCACGGCACCAATTAATATGTGACAGTATTGGTTCTTAAATCGGGTTCTTTGATGACAACACTGGTATATACATCTAATAATAGTTTTATTCTGCTTCTTACAATATTAGGTACAAACATCGTAATGTTAAAGACACCCAGGACTAAATTACATTAGTTGGCCGTTGTCCGGTCTTAACTCCATGACCTGCGTGGCCTGGAGTTAACTACCAGACGTCGCCTAGCCTCCGCCTGCTCTCCTGCCCTGCCTGGACTTCTCTCCTATCCATTAGGTACCTTGATCTAGGCACCCGCCTAGCATGGCCTCCTGGACCCGCCTGAAGATTCGTTTCTGTTCTGAGTTTATAAACGTATTCGAGACAAAGGAGCTCATTAGACACCTGTCTAATGTATCAAGCATCATATGAAGGTTTAACATTCAATATAGTTTATCAGACAAAGAAAGTTAGATAAGACATGCCAACAACAAGTTATAGTTACGCAATGACATAAGGAATACTACCAAGATCTCCAGCCGGGTATTGATAGCGACAGGTTTATGTTACAATCACTAATACGTATTTTAATATGGCAGGACGCCTCTATGACATAAGTCATTATGTTATATTGGACAGGCAACCCTACTCCTTGTCACGTACAACCGGGAAAAAATTGAAATAAAGAAAATATCATTTTAATTCAGAAATGATTTGTTTAGTCTGGAGTGGGCGCCCCAGAGCCACGCAATCTCTCTCTCTCTCTCGCCTGATAAGGACAGCTGTCTAGTCCTTCGGATGAGACGAAAAACCGAGGTCCCGTGTATACATTGGAATGCACGTAAAAGATCCCTAGGTAGTTGGAATTCTATATAAGAGTAGGTGATAGTGCCGCTGCCCGGGCAAAATTTCCCTCGTAGCAAACTGTATGGCGTATGCCCGTCTTCATTACTCCAGTATAGGAGCAGAACAGTAGGGCGTTAAACCCCATTTCATTTCATTTCATTTCTCTCTCTCTCTCTCTCTCTCTCTCTCTATCTATCTCTCCTTTGTGGCAATTCTGTAGACAATCATGTCTAATGCTACAAGACATCAATTGTTATTGAATGAGATAATTTAAAATAGCTGTGTGTGGCCTGCGGGTTCATATAAAAGGCAATCAGGACGTAGCAAACCCCCTTTAATTCTATCTTATAATTAGTCTTGTATGTTGAGTGGCTTCGATGCCAATTCTAACACTCCGCTATCTAATTCATTTTTCTCAAGACTACAAATCAAGCTCCATTCCATAGTCCCAAGAGGACGGGTTGAATTGTAAAATCAATCAAACACCGCATTAACAGACGGTAGATTTGAGGGACTAATTGTTAGGGATTCAAGACGTCTTGTTATCGTGGAAACATCAGCTAAGTAATTGATTCAACATGACACGGGTCACCAGGAAGCGTTTTAACTTGAAGCAAATAGTTTTCTCTTGTAACGTATCAGCCGTTAATTGGACAACCGTCTGACTTATGTCACAGTCAACTATAGTCTCTCCAAGTTACATTACTCTCACGGTGTTGGGATGTTAAAAACTCGCTCATTGATATAAAAAGAAACGCATTAAGTTAACAGGACCATCATGTTTGCTTTTTTTACATCGATATAATTGTCGGTAGAAACATTTATCTTTATCTGAAAATGTATGTCGCAGGGGCGAATCCAGTGAGGGGGGCACACCTCTTTTAAAGTACATCTGTCAAAGTTAAAATCAGCTGGCATATTGTTTTATAAACTAGAACGGCAAATGGTCCTCTGGTGTTTTAATGGTTCAATCTTTGGCCGAGAAGGTTCCTCGGGGGGGGGGGGGGTCGGGGGGTTTCCCCTTATCAGTGGTGCCGGACGGAGAGCCTAGCAAGCAAAAGGCATCTTGTTCCCGTATACAAGATGGCGTACACGTAAAAGAGCCCTTAGCAATTAGAATTCGAAATAAGAATAGGCTGTAGCGATGCTGTCCGGACAAATTACCCTATAGCACTTGTCCCCCAAATGTCAAGACTTTGTATTAACATGACAGACACGGCGGGTGAATGGCTAGCGCGTGCGCGTTGTATCATAAAGTCTGACATTGAGTCAACTGGCGTGGTTTCGATTCCCCGGTTGTACGTGACAAGGAGTAGGGTCGCCTGTCCAACCTCGTGGATTTACTACGGGGTTCTCTGGTTTCCTCCCACTCCTAAAGACCCCTACGCGCAAGCGAATTATCGAAATAAAATTCAACCATATTTTAGTTCCGAAATGGCCTAGTTTGTGTTGAGTGGATATGTTACCCCCTCCCACTCTCTTTCTCTCTCTCTCTCTCTCTCTCTCTCTGAAAGACACCCCACCTCCAATCCAGTTGAGTGTCAAAAATAAATCCTTTAAGTGCATGTGCAGCTAGACTAATAATTCTTTCAAGACAGTTAAAGTATCTTTAAATGTTCTTGTTATTGTTTGGGTTAAACACAGTATTTTTTATTGATACGTATATATCTTCATTCATCATTATCTGTGACTTTTCTCGAGATAAAAAACCAAAAAGCGTGAAATCCAATCAATAATATTATAAAGATTTTCGTTATTTTTAGGAAAGAATACGACACCGGACATGTTTTGTTAGATTTTATTTTTATAAGAGAGATAAACACACCGTCAGATCTAAATATTAAGGCCGCCTGCAGATTTTATTAAGGTCTAGGACCCCACTTATCGACAGTAGCGCCTGCCGGGCTGACAAGGACAGTTTACCCTGGGAAGAAAAACTAAAGCCCACACGGGTACAAATTGGAGTGCACGTAAAAGAAGCCTTGACAATTGAAATTAGACGAAGAGAAGGAGGAAATGCTGCTGTCCGGGCAAAATTCTCACTCCCTAAACGCACATTTAGTCTGGAGAGCTTTAGAGTGTATTTTGCCATTAATAAGATCGTAATAGAACGTGCAGTGTTAACGTCTCGTGCAGTGACGTACGTGATGTGGGTTGTCGGTATTTGCGACACCCTTTATACATTGGTATAAAGGAGCATTATGGGAGATTAGATAAAGAGATGGCAGTTCTCACTATAATAGTTAAAAACTAGATAACATAAATAGAAAATGTTGAAAATTTCAGTCAAATTGCTCCACTCTGAACCAAGATATTAGCTTTTGAATTTTAGGCCTAGCCTGGATCATCATTACTAAAAAACATAGTCTCGATTATCTATTTAGGGATTAAATCAACAATGAGCGTTAAGCACCAAAATCGGATTCAAATCCAATGAAAATCCGACACATAAAATGGCATCGAGAGTTGATTTAGGTCTTTTCATGTTAATAAATTTCTACTATAGGCAGTCTACCGGGATTTTTTTTTATTAAACTCATGCGTGAGACGTACGCATCACTTGCGTGTGTTTGGCACCGTAGAATATCGCAAACTGGCCGTAGAGACTTTTGGTCGTGCACAGACAAAATTTTCACCCGGTTTCTGGCGGTTGGTATGCGAACTAACAAACTCTACGACCCGTGCGTGCCAAAATACTTATAAACCTGTAACGGTAAATCTCTTTGATCTTTGGGGTATATTCTATGCCCGGAATAACTTGCGGTCTGAAAGTCGAGGGCGGTTATATACAGGGGAATTTGGGGTTATTATTCTGAAAGTTTTTCTTTAAACCTGTACCGGTTTATTATTCCAGGGTAGAGTTTTTTTCCATAAGGAAACATGATATAAGGTTTTTCTTGCGGGAATTCTGGGTTATTCTCATCTTGCCTACATGTAAACATAGACGGTTTATAAGCAAGAAATAGTCCTCGACTTCGGTTATGCTGGGGAAGAAAGACTTCAGAAAAAACCCTTGACAGGAAAACCTCGGCCTACCGGCCTGGTTTTTCTTTCTCTCGGGTTATTTTCTTCAGTCTTTCTTTCCCCGGCATAACCTCAGTCTCGTGCTTTATCCTACAAATACAGCAGGTTGTGAGCTAGGCTTTAGACCCCATATGAAATGGGGTTTAACTTCCTACTGTTCTGCTCCGACTGGGCTAATAAATACGGGCATACGCCATACAGTGTGCTATGAGGGAAATTTTGCCCGGACAGCGGCGCTATGGTCTACGTTTATATCAAATTCCAACTGCGAGTAGATCTTTTACGTGTACGGGACCTCGGGTTTTTGTCCTATCCGGACGACTAGACAGCTGTCCTTGTCAGGTCCTCCATCCTACATCACTGACAAGGGAAAACCACGTCGGAAAATCCCGATAATCTTTCTCGGCCAATGCAGGGATCGAAAACGCAAACGCGACCTCTGGGCTAGCGAGCCAGCGTCTTACCCCCTTTTAGCCACCGTGGCTCCTTGCTATAAATTGTGAATGTACATTGAATATATGCGGTTCTCTAAGATAAGTTAAAGTGTTAAATAAATCGATGAACACGTTCTAGTATCGCTTCCTGTTCACACTTTACTTGGTTCATTGTGAGACTAACAGCATCTATTTATTTCTAAACCCAACTGCCAAGAGATCGCTTACGTGCATTTACAATTTATAAAAATAGTCGTGTTTCTCACGACACCGGAATATTCTAGCCCTAGCAATATTTATCAATAAATTCGCGCCAATGCTTTTACAGCTCTTAAAGTCAGTTATTGGTCATGTTTTGTTAGAAACAATTATTGTTTGGCGACCCAGAGGACCCCCACGTCCAGAAATCCGCCACACTGAGTGTCAAAGCTCTGTTGAGTAGGAATATTCACTGTAAGACCTGTTGATTGAAGCCGTGATGTAAAGGCAAGATGATATTCGTGGTGTAGCCTACTCTTATTATCAGTGCCAGTAATATATAGCCTTATAGAAGTGGAAGACGGATATCGGTGGTGATAATCAACTACGTTTTACTAGATCGTTGAATTACGATACATCTCTCATTCTATCTCTCTCAGACGTGCTCGGTGCTCATTCTGTGTTGATTGTTCAACGGCGCCACATGCCTATTTTTACTTGCTCTTGAACCGAAGCGTAAGGCAGGTATGGTTAGAGAATGGAATTGGTGATTATCAATGAAGGTCGGATACAATTCTATAAGCAGTTTATTTGACAGGTAGGGGATTTATTATTTAAGAAAAAAAAGAAAAAAAAAAGAAATGAAATAACAGCCGCGGTGCCGTGGATGATTACTCTTATTAGAACATCTGATATCACTTCTCGCAACGGCGCTGGCTCACCGGGTTCGATCACGTTGTTAGCCGAGAAAGTTACCCGGGATTTTCCACTGTGGTTTCCTCTTGTCAGTGGCGCAGGGCGAAGGGCGTGTCAATAAAAGCGCCTAGTCTTTCGGATGGGACGAAAGAGAGAGAGAGAAATGGGGTTTAACGTCCACTCGACACAAACTAGGTCATTTCGGGACTAACATATGATTTAATTTTATTTCAATAATTCGCTTGCGCGTATGGGGTCTTTAGCAGTGGGAGGAAATCTTACATAATGTATCTTTAAAGGAGAGATGTTATTATAGACCAGTTGCAAGTAAATTTGGTGTTAGTTTAAAGGTACACTCATTCAATACACTATGTTGCTTGACGTAATAAAACCTATAAACGTATTACAATTCCATATCGCTACATATATAGTTCGGCCAATCTGATTAAAATACAGATCTATATTTCGTTTCGTTTGTTTATACTTTCAATGTCCTCTACTAGTTCTGACCGGCTGTAGTGGAAGGTCGCGTCAGTTGTGTTGGGTGTTGAACAGTTGTAATTAATTACACATGCCCGTCTTCATAAATGGCTAGGAAGTTTAATAGTTCTAAATCTTTAATTATAAAACCTCAGAGATGGGCGAAGTCAATTTTTTTTAACTAGTTAACAAGTCAATTAACGAGTTAATCAGTTAAAAATTAAGTTTAAGTCTTTAAGTTTTATTTTTGTGTTCAGATTACACCAATGTAATAACTAAATACAATAAAATTATATACGCAAATAAATACAGAGAGAAAGAGAGGGAGAAATGAGGTTTAACGTCCACTCGACACAAACTAGGTCATTCCGGGACTAACATATGGTTTATTTTTATTTCAATAATTCGCTTGCGCGTAGGGGTCTTTAGCAGTCGGAGGAATCCGAGGGACCCCGAGAAAACCTACGAGGTTGGACAGGCGACCCTAATCCTTGGCACGTACCCAGTTGACTCAATGACAGGCCTTATGATACAGCGCGCACGTGCTAACCATGTTAAATAACCGATATGTTTGAGAATATTTATATAATGCTCTATACTATTATTTCATTAATCATTCTGTAAATTAATCAAGATCTTCGTGACTATACTCAGATATATTTGTCATATATTTAGAAAGCAAGATTTAAAATATACCGTTACTATTTCACAAATCATGACTGAACCACAGGCGTGTGTAAATTTATTTATTATATCAGAGGGAAACATTTGCATTTTAATTACTTTGTTCATAGTGATTATTAGATGAAAGGAAACGTTAATGTATTAATTAATTTTTTCTTCGTTATATTTGGATTATGCCCTTTGTAGGATTATAAAATATATAAAAAATATAGATCTCGAAATATGATAGATATCTAATCTTTGTCCGTAATCGTCAATTATTTTGTTACCATGAAACCTCCAATTAGTAATTTAATTAATTTTTTCTTCGTTATATTTGGATTTTCTCCTTTGTCGGATTATAAAATATATTTAATAAGAATGATAGATCTTCAGATATGATTTTATTACCATGAAAACTCCAATCGGCTGGAATCCCGAGAACACGAATAAATCAGTTTGATTAATGAGCATACCCTGATCAATATTCACACTTTTCTAGCCATTTATAAATATTTCAATTTTAGCGGCTCTTTTTTTTAAGATGACTGATTCTCCCTGGGCGCCATTTCAACACGCTCACAAAAGAAATAGCGACAGTTGATGCGAGTTGTAATATCTCGACCTTTATAAGCCTTACTTTCTTTACTTTCAGTGCTCACTTCTGTTAGTCCTAATAATGAAGAAACTCTCGGTGGTAACTCTGATTCTGGCTTTGTCTATCTTGGCTAATATCGCACTTGTTGTCGTTGTTTTCTGGCTGACCCACACCGAGACCTGCGACCACCAACATCAAACGCCCGAAGAACTTTCCAACTGTACCGACTACGTCAACGTCTTTGAAGATTTAAGAGCTGAAGAAATAAATGAGGTCTTGGAGTATTTGTATTCACAAAAATCGCTGCAATTAGTTAAACCCAACAAAGCCAACCTGACAACGAACTACATTCTTGGAATTGAACTGCACGTACCCAACAAATCCCTGGCGCTGGATTTTCTCGACAGTGGAGGCGAGAAACCTGTTCGGGAAGCCAAAGCAATACTGTTTCTTCCGCAAAGAGATCCCCCAGTGGTGGAGGAATACATTATTTCTCCCATACCCAAGCCATCTAACCACTATCTCAATCCCCGCAGAAATAAGTCCATACCTTATAGGGTTAGACAATTTAGTAATACCGAAATGGTAGCAGCCGTGAGGTTGCTGCAAAAAGAAGTTGCCACGAAAGTTGAAAATATGTTGAAACGAAGTTATGGGGCAGCTTTTACAAATTGTGACGATAAATGTCTCACGTTTACAGCGTCTGCTATTTCGTCTGCTTTTTCGAAAAAGAGAAAATTGTGGATTACATCTTTATACCAACAAGAATTCTCCACACTTCATCCGGTCGGTTTCCAGATTCTTATAAATATGGACGGAACAAACGCATCTGAGTGGAAAATTGAAAAACTTTGGTACGCAAACAAAATGTTTGACTCTGTTGACGAATTGGTGCATAAATACGAAAATAACGAAATTCCAAAGTTAGTTTTACGGTTCCCGGAACCCGAAAAGGGTGAAAGCACAATACGCGGGTCGTTGCATATACGCGGTAAGCAATTTCCAAATATTCCCAAATCCGGGCCGAGACAGTACGAACCCCAGGGTCATCGGTATACTGTACACAACCAGCATGTGAACTACATCAACTGGGAGTTCAACTACAGGATGTCGTATACGTCAGGGATTCAACTTTATGATATACGATTTCAAGGAGAAAGGATTATATATGAACTAAGTATGCAGGAAATAGCAATAGTTTACGCCGGTGCCAGTCCCAATGGAATCTATGCTCAATTATCGGATAGCGCTTTTGGTTTCGGCAATAGAGCCTATGGAATGATGCCGGGTGTGGATTGTCCGGAACATGCCACCTTTCTTGGTTCAACGATTTTAAATGAAGACTTTTTGGAAGCGAAAAATTACCCGAATTCTATTTGTATTTTCGAACATAATACCGCACTTCCGCTTCGGCGGCACAAATCAAACAGTGTGCGCAGTGGATTCTTTTATGCGGGTGTTGTGGATTATGTTTTGATTGTTCGGACTGCTTTTGTAATGTTTAATTACGACTACATTATAGACTTCGTTTTCCATCAAAACGGTGCTATTGATGTTAAAATACACGCGACTGGATTTATTATGTCCAGTTTGTATTTCTCAGAAGAAGAAGCCTATGGAATGAAAATGTCAGATTCTTCCGTGGGTTCTGTGCACCAACACTTGTTTAGTTTCAAAGCGGATATAGATATTCTGGGTACTAAAAATAGATATGTGACTTTAGATACTGAAATCGATAACAAAACTAGAAAATGGTTTGAAAATGGGGAATATTTTTCTCAGTTGACCTTTAAAAGAAAACTCAAAAGAACCGAATTAGAGGCAGCATACAAATTTAATTTTGATACCCCAAAATACCACATAGTTCTTAATAACGATAAGCTTAATCCCTATTCTGAACCTAGGGGTTATCGAGTTATCACTAAGGGATTTTCTAAACAGATGTTACCGCAAAACGTGGGTTTTGAAAAGTCAATGTCGTGGTCGAGATACCAAATGGCAATGACGAAACGCAAAGAAGACGAATCTACTACTAGTTCTATGCATTCTATGTTTGATGGAGGAGACCCTGTGGTTAATTTTCAAAAATATTTGAACGACGACGAAAACATAGTAGATGAGGTAAGATTTGTGTTATTTTAAACAGGTCTATTTTAGCAGAAGTCGCTAAGTCGAACTCAATGAAGAATACGTGGATGTTAGTCTCCAATGACCTAAGCAAAAGTGGGGGATCACGTGGCTAAGTGGGTAAGACGCTGGCTCGCTAGCCTGGAGGTCGGGTGTTCGATCCCTGCATTGGCCGAGAAAGTTCATCCAGATTTTCCGGCGTGGTTCCTCCTTGTCAGTGATGCAGGACGGAGGGCCTGACAAGGACAGCTGTCTAGTCCTTCGGATGAGACGAAAAACCGAGGTCCCGTGTATACATTGGCGTGCACGTAAAAGATCCCTTGGCAGTTGGAATTCGATATAAGAGTAGGCGATAGTGCCGCTGCCCGGACAAAATTTCCCTCATAGCACACTGTATGGCGTATGCCCGTCTTCATTAGCCCAGCATAGGAGCAGAACAGTAGGACGTTAAACCCCATTTCATTTCATTTCATTTCCTAAGCAAAGTGTAGGGTGTGAATGGTTAACGTGCGCGCGCTGCATCATAAGGTCTGTCATTGACCCGTCGGCACAAGCGCATTATTGAACTATATGTTAGTCCCGAATTGACATAGTTTGTGTCGAGTGGACGTTAAACCCCATTTCTGTCTCTCCTAAGCAAAATGTCTTTTCTAGCTAGGCTATTTGAGAAAAAATAGTATTTTTATTTTCTGTGACTACATACATAATGCCATGGAGGAGAATTTTGCATGGACAGAGGCGCTTCCTGGTCTTTTACGGGCACCTCCTAAGGAGTGGTGTCGTCAGCTCTACACAACTCTACACAAACTAGGTCATTTCAGGACTAACATATTGTTCAATTTTATTTCAATAATTCGCTTGCGTGTACGGGTCTTTAGCAATGGGAGGAAACCGGAGGACCCGGAGAAAACCCACGAGGTTGCGTAGGCGACCCTATCTCCTTATCACGTACAACCGGGGAATCGAAACCACGCCAGTTGACTCAATGACAGACCTCATGATACAAAACACACAGACCTCGTGATATAACGCACACGCGCTAACCATTCGCCCCCCCCCCCCCCCGCCGAACTACAAAAAATTACTAGCGATTTTACGATTGGATCCATATTCTAATAGTCAAGTGATATCTGGTGTACCACAGAAGGTAGGGGATCACGTGGCTAAGTGGGTAAGACGCTGGCTTGCTACCCTGGAGGTCGGGTGTTCGATCCCTGCATTGGCCGAGAAAGTTCATCCAGATTTTCCGGCGTGGTTCCCCCTTGTCAGTGATGCAGGACGGAGGGTCTGACAAGGACAGCTGTCTGGTCCTTCGGATGAGACGAAAAACCGAGGACCCGTGTATACATTGGAATGCACTTAAAAGATCCCTTGGCAGTTGGAATTCGATATAAGAGTAGGCCGTAGTGCCGCTGTCCGGGCAAAATTTCCCTCATAGCACACTGTATGGCGTATGCCCGTCTTCATTAGCCCAGTATAGGAGCAGAACAGTAGGACGTTAAACCCCATTTCATTTCATTACAACAAAAGGTAAGTAAGCGACAGTCTAACAATAAACACTTTGATATCTCCAGTGTAATTTATTTTCTTGGATGTTACATACATTCGCACCTGTGACTTCCAAAAAACGTGTTACATTTCAAAATCTTTTATAAAACAGGGCACTAAGAACAGAGAGTAACGGAGTAAAATTGATTGGCTATTTTGGGTGCTCAGAATTTAAAATAGATATCACCTATAGGGGATTTCAGTATTTTTACAAGCTCTGTGTATTATTGATCGCCAAATGAATTACTATTATTTAAGGCTATTTACAGGGTTAGATCTATTTACCATAGCCAACTGCAGATTTCCTCAAGGTCACGAGATGCAAGCGCTAACCCAAGACCTAGCCCTTACCCTAACCCAAGACCTAGCCCTAAGCCTCACCCTAACCCTAGCACACAATCCTCGGCAATATCCACGTGCCCTAACCCTTTTTAAACTCGATACCACTTCTCGTTCGACTAGTTCATCAGGCGCGTGTCCGGGGGTGGGGTGGGGGGCAGGTGGCCAGGGGACCAGTCCCCCCCCCTGCTCATGTGGAGACTGCAAGAGAGACCCCAGGGAGAGCCTATACATTAAAGAGAGTAAATGGCCTCAATCCGGAACAGGGCCGTACCCCCCCCCCTCCCTTCCATTTTTCTACCCACGCCAATGTTCACATGATTAACTCTTTTGGCAGAAATGAAGTGTAGGTCTATTTTTTTAGCTTGGCTCGGCTTCGTGCATAATTAAAGGTGCCAGAAGTTTAAACCCACTCACTGATAATTGACACCGGTGCTCTAAGTAGCATGTCGGGTTAAATTAATTGAGGTAGAATCGCCTTTACAGACGGTACTGTATATTTAACCGCAGACGTCAAGGTCAGCGAGGGCTGCGGTAACCCTGGAGAGGCAAACATCAATATCCCATTAAGAGTTTACAGATAAATCTCCAACCTTTCTGTGTTTGTAGTTGTTTATTTTATTTCAGGATCTGGTTACATGGATAAGTCTGGGAATGCACCATATACCCCATACAGAGGATTTACCCAACACTGCCACGACCGGAAATGAGATGTCAATCACTTTTCTTCCTTACAACTACTTTCCGGAAGATCCTTCTGTCGGATCACGTGATGCCATTCGAGTGGATGCAAAATCAGAAAATAAGGGGAGAGTCACTTTTCAACGACACGGAACACCTTTCAAATTCACATGTCCACCTCAACAGCCTGATTTCGAACAAATTTTAAAGAATGGTTCAGTGCTTTTTATGAGCTTGGCTCCATAGACAGTGACGTGGTGTTACCCCACCAAATTATCCCGAAAAGTCCGAGTACTTATATGGCCTTAACCTTTGTGCGTGCAAGTCGCACGAAAAAACATTGTGGGCAACAAGGGGTAATCTAAGACCCCAGATATAAATTGGTTTTTGGATGCATAATTTTATTCAAATATGATCAAACTACAGCTTCATATAATGACTGAAGAATAAAAAAAAATATGAGGTATTAACAGTGAAGATATGAATTATCAGGTATTTTTGAAACCATCAAAATCTTCAAATAACTTAATGGTTATTTCCATGTAGAATTGTCTCTTGGCGGGGTTGGTAGAGTACCTAGATTTGTTTTCGGATCTAGTAAGACAGATTCCAAATACAAAGCTGGCATCTAGCCCAGAACCACTCGGCAAACCTCCTACAATCGAGGCTAGATTTAAAGTAACGGAATCTACCGAGGTTTGCCGAGTGGAATAAAAACAGATTAGATACTTGTAACCAGTAAAATGTTTAAAGGAGGGGAGGGGGGGGGGGTCATCAAACAAGGGTTAACGAAAGAGAACTGGCGACAGAGTCTGCTCAGTCAGCCATTTCTGACCACCGTTAAATGTAATTAGGCCTTCATTTACTTGCATGTGTAACCAATTTTATTACAATTACTTTGAAGCAATCATATTACAATTCCTATGAACCAATCAAAAAACAATAACTACCATACGTAACCAATCAAAATAAAATTACTTTCATAGATAACCAATCAAATTACTCTCATTCATATTTTTAAGATTACATTAAAATAAGTAACCAATCAATTTACAGTTTATAAATATATAAATGTAAATATGGGAATGTAATCATTTGGATTTCATGATTGCTTAATTACTTTAACCCCTTTTAAGGTAAATCTAGAAATGACATTTGATTGGTCGAAAATATTAAGATGATTACGATTTAAAGGCTGAATAATATGTCCCAATCTTTATTCTGGTCAACAAATTGTACAATTTTAGAATATTTCAATTAATTGATGATACAAATTTCATCTTAACACACCTTATTTAAAAATTTTGAAAAATTCAACATGATGGTCTGAAACGTCTAACGTAAACCTTTTCAAATGAAACTTCAATTTAAAAATATTTTCGAACCTTCTGGACAAGTAAAATAGAATGTAATGGTTAATTTACACAACAGGTAGGACACTTAAACATCTAGTACTTAGATATAGATATTATTTATTTTCTGGAGCTTTCAAGCCAGCAAGAGTGTTGATCAATTGTGTAATCTGCATTTAGAAGTTCAATTTGATTCAAATACAGGGTCCTGTTTCACGAAATTTTAACTAAGATAAAAATCCAAATTTTAGTAATTTGATTGGATAATATTAGAGAGAGAGAGAGAGAGAGAGAGAGAGAGAGAGAGAGAGATGGGGTTTAACGTCCACTCGACACAAACTAGGTCATTTCGGGACTAATACATGGTTTAATTTTATTTCAATAAAACCGGAGGACCCGGTGAAAACCCACAAGGTTGGACAGGCGATGGATAATATTAGATTGATTTTAGTGCTTAGCCAATCAAATTACTAAAATTTGGATTTTATCTTAGTTAAAATTTCGTGAAACAGGTCCCCGATCTATATTTCGTTTCTTTTTTTTTAATGCTTTCGGTGGCCTACACTAGATGAAGATCTGACCGGTTGTAGTAGAAGGTCACGTCAGAGGTCATACGAGCGGCTTTTGGCCCTATGACATCAGATATTTGGTTAACCAATCAGCGTTGATGTTTCTAGTTGGTTACCCACACTTCCGTGCAACTCTTCCAGACCCTAGTGTAGTTAAGACAAGTAAAATTAAATTTTGAACTATAAAAAACGAAACGAAATAGGATTTGTGTTTTAATCCGCTTGATAAGAAGTTTATATTTGTCGACCGTTTCGATGAGGGTTTTCTCGCCTTTATCAAGTAGACAATAAACTTCTAGAGTAACTTGTATTCTATGTAACTGTGTCATCATCCGTTATAGATTTCATAGCCTGAAAAAATGGTGATGCACTGATATGTAAATATTTTCACATAATAGATAATAACGTGTACAGTATTGGTTGTAAATATCTATTATATTCTCTAAACTGTTAACATTATGTATTTCATCATGGGGTGGAGGTGGGTGGGGGGGGGAGTAAAATAAAGGGCACTGACGCTTGTTTTTATTATTTTTAGGTGGCATCAGGCCCTTAGCTAGCGGGGGAGGGGGGCTGCAGTCGCCCTGTAAAAATTCGGCTCCCCCAATGGACGCCGATGGCGCCCTTTGCACATTGGAGAAAAATTCGGCTCCCCCAATGTGCGCCGTCGGCGCCCTTTCCATTGGACGTAATACGGAGCCGACGACCAACGTGCCCATATCTGTATGAGCGCTACATGAAGCCGAGTAACATTGGTTGGGCGTCCATGACTTAATCAGGGCTGCAGCCGCCCTGTAAAAATTCGGCGCCCTTTGCCCATTGGAGAAAAAAACGGCTCCCCCCATGAGCGCCGTTGGCACCCTTTCCATTGGACGTAATACGAAGCCGACGACCAACGTGCCCATATCTGTATGGGCGCTACATAAAGCCGAGTAACATTGGTTGGGCGCCGACGACTTAATCAATGGGGCGCCCAAAACGGCATGATTGGTGAGGTGCCTCATCCCGGAGGGGCGCCCATAATGCCGAGATTGGTGGGCCGCCCCAGACGAGATCCTGGGCACCCATAATTGGCGGGGCGCCCACCATGCTGAGTGAGATTGGTCAGGCGCCCACGATTGAATTGGTCGCCCAAAACGGCGTGATAATCTTCAAAATTCAAACAAGTCGCACTCTAACCCGATTGCGAACTTTTCGTTTTTCTCAAAAATTATTATAGGTACGTTAAAGTCGTATCCCTTCCTTCAATTTTTTATAATGTTCATATCAAAATATAATAATACGCCAATAACGCAAATTCAGCCTCAAAATAGAAATTGTCCGTCATTTTCAGGTGCAAACCCTATTTTCCAAAATTTTCTTGGGAGTGGGTAGGAGGGGGGGGGGGGGAGCACCCTAGACTCTTCTCCGAAGGAAGGCGTGTCCACTATACCGTTCGCCGTGAACCGTCAAGTGTAGGTACATCGGCGCCCCCAGAAGCCTTTGCCCCCCTCCCCCCAACAAACAATTTTCTTGGGAGTGGGTAGGAGGGGGGGGAGCACCCTAGACTCTTATCCGAAGGAAGGCGTGTCCACTATATCGTCGCCGTGAACCGTCAAGTGTAGGTACATCGGCGCCCCCAGAAGCCTTTGCCCCCCTCCCCCCCCCCCCCCACAACAAACAATTTTGGACTAGCTACGGGCCTGGATGGCATTGTTGTCTGTCTACATTAATGACAGTTGACCGGCTCAGTTTAGTTTAGTTTTGAACCTTGAAATAGACGAAATGGTTCTAATGTCACATATTAATGTTATTAATGTAATATGAATGTATGTAAAGTGATTTATATTCAATTTCTGTAATTTCTAATCAATTATGTTCGGTAATTGAGCAACTGTCGTTTACACCGGCTTAATCTGAACGTTTTGGGCGTTTGTGAATTAGCCATCCTCAATTATTTCCGCATTGTCTTGTAGGGTATGTTTTCTTTGTTCATTACAAATGGCGCCCGCAACCATAGAATACACGACTCGTGTACTAATAATAAAAAAATGTATTGTATCTTAAGTATTGGATATTAGTATCCCCATATTTTACGACAAGATAAGAACACCCATATTTCCACTACTGAATTCTAATTCGTGTTTTTATTTTGAATATTATGGAAAATATTGAGTCAGAGGTTTAGCGCCTTTGAGGGCTTTTTGCTGGGAACTTTATTTTTCTCGTTCCTTCCGAATTGTCACCTTATCCGGGAATTGTCACGTTATCCAGGAATGGTCACGTTATCCAGGAATGGTCACGTTATCCAGAAATTGTCACGTTATCCAGGAATTGTCACGTTATCATAGCTCGATATAAGAGCAAGGTCCTTTAATAGTACTCGCCCAATACGTCAGCGATTGTATAATCGATTTCCAATGGTGAACACAAACACGTGAAAATGGCGTTTTTGTTGTTTGAAATCGTTGATAAAAGCCTTGAAAGCTTCGTTTATTTATAAAAGGATGTGCTCTGTCACCCGATTAGATTTTATTACATACTTCGAGAAGGTATTTGTTGAGTAATATAACCTTCTAGTAGTTTATCGAGGGCTGGCCGTCCTTACCGCACGGTACAAATATTATCCAAATGAGTATTTAGGGGAATACTAACCCGAACCCTAACCCTAACCCTTTTTAGAGAGGTAAAAACTAAATTAGACCCAAGTTCAGTCTTTTAAAAAGGGTTAGGGTTAGGGTTCGGGTTAGTTATCCCCAAAATTCTCATTTATATAAAGCGGCCATTTTGGACTCCGGAAGCACCCGAACCTCGATAAACTACTAGAAGGTTTTATTTGTACCGTGCGGTAAGGACGGTCAGCCCTCGATAAACTACTAGAAGGTTTTATTACTCAACAAATACCTTCTCGAAGTATGTAATAAAATCTAATCGGGTGGCTCTGTAAACTGAACCGTTATTAGGTGGCCCGTGAACTTTTTTCTAAGACAACCTAAGAAAACAACAGAGCATAAATTGTTACAATGCTTGATACAATCTGGGGGTTGGGTGGGCGAACGGTTAGCACGCGCGCGCTGTATCATACGGCCTGTCATTGAATCAACTGGCGTGGTTTCAAATCCCCGGCTGTACGTGACAAGGAGTAGGGTCGCCTGTCCACCCTCGTGGGTTTTCTCCGGGTCCTCCGGTTTCCTCCCACTGCTAAAGATCCCTATGCGCAAGCGAATTATTAAAATAAAAATAACGCATATGTTAGTCCCGAAATGACCTAGTTTGTGTGATACAATCTGTTTCACAGAGTATTACGAGTGTCTTCTAATATCTCTGTAAAAGATGACTGCCTTCAACACATGGCGTCATATCACGCGGCGTCAATCATTGGCTCAATGGTGCGTACATTGTTTACATAAGACGTTACTGGTTCGAGCAGAATGGCGCCTTTTACTCATTTTAATACATCTAACCTCGGCTGTATGACGAAGTGATATGTACATACGCCTATACAATTTCGATGCGGCTCCGGTTTACTTATTAGGAAAACTTGCCGCTTTTAGAAAGAACTTCTTACAATTGCCTTGTTCGAAGAGTGTGTAGAATTTTCAGTCCAAAAGTGTCCTTGTCTAAAGAAAATTGGATAAACTTGAGAGAAAAACAGCTTCAGACTTTGAAATCTTTGTATGATAAAACATTCTTCAAAGGCGTTGTCATGGGCAACGCCGTTGGTAATCCGGGAACTTGAAAGTAGTTTCAATGGCGGACCTCGTCACACAGCCGAGGCTAGATGTAGGGTACTGGAATCTGCTGAGGTTTGCCGAGTGGGTTTTAATCGTGCAGTAATCGTGATGAACCTATCAGGTCTTATCATATATTGTGGTTAGTCGTAGCAATCCTGTTGATCGTATTGAAACGTATTCGAACGTATCGCACGACAGGGGAAACCTCGCATAACCGAATTACCTACTGTATTCAGTGGCGCCGCCCCGTCTTAATATAAGTTATGTACGGTATAGAGTCCCATGATATAATTAGTATCAGGCGCGGATCCAGGGGGGGGGGGGGCGCACCGGGCGTCCCCCCCCCCCCCGCCTATTGTTGGCGGTGGCGAACAATTTTTGTCCCATATTTTTCGGGAAAGGAGAACAAAAATACTTAAAAATGGTAGTGATCCCCGTCGTGATTTACTCCGAAACGAGTCGGTTGGTGACTTGGTTGTTTGCACGTCAGTCCGCCCACCGAGGGCCGGGCTTTGCACTCCCAAGTGGGGGTAGCACGCCTTACCCCGCTTTCTGAAAATCCTGGATCAGCCCCTGAGTATTAATCGAGAGAAGAAAAAATTATAATTTTAAAGTTGAAAATGATATTTTTGCCAATTTCTCAACTGGCAATAGCGAATTATAGGATTAATAGGATTATTCTTTAACAAGGTAGGAGTGTTTATAGATATCATCTTTTTTAGGGCTTTATTTTAATACATTTTAAAAATATAATTTAAAACTATGAAATTTTCGCTTGAAAGCAATATTACTAGTGATTTGTGAGGCATCTAGGTATAACTTGCATACACACTGAACAACAAACCCCAAAAATATACACTATTACAGAAATTATTAATTGAAATGGAACCCTTTCCTCATTTAAAAAAAACCCCAACAGACTTTTGTACATAAAGGGAACACTCATGAAATGAAATGAAATGGGGTTTAACGTCCTACTGTTCTGCTCCTAAACTGGGCTAATGAAGACGGGCATACGCCATACAGTGTGCTATGAGGGAAATTTTGCCCGGGCAGCGGCACTATCGCCTACTCTTATACCGAATTCCAACTGCCAAGGGATCTTTTACGTGCATTCCAATGTATACACGGGTCATCGGTTTTTCGTCTCATCCGAAGGACTAGACAGCTGTCCTTGTCAGGCCCTCCGTCCTGCATCACTGACAAGGGGGAACCACGCCGGAAAATCTGGATGAACTTTCTTGGCCAATGCAGGGATCGAACACCCGACCTCCAGGCTAGCGAGCCAGCGTCTTACCCACTTAGCCACGTGATCCCCCCACTCATGGAATAAAATACAAGCCCCAGGATTGCAGGTTATTTGAACATACATTATGACGTCACATTAATAATGATGTCATTGTAATAATCATATTAAACATACATTATTCAAGAGCTAAATCTGCCTATTGCAGGTCTTTCTTTAGGCCTGAAATGTTATATAAATTATTAATTAGACATTTATTAACATGACAAAACCATAATCAACTCTAGATGTCATCTGATACTCGAGATTTTAACTAGATTAGAACGGTTCGCCATTTAAAAATTTAATTTAAAAATAGGAAAGCGAAGCTAAGACTTGAATATACTGTTATAGTGACTGATTTTACATTTCATGATCAGACCAGACTCAAGTTAAAACTATAACGACTTAATCCCTAGGGTCTCAGTTAGCAATGAAGTATTGGCTGAGTTATCTCTCTAATCCTATCATAGATAAGAATACCTATTCTATAGGATTAATTAGTTTATATACATGGTAACCAAACCAGTACATATACCCCAGTCACCCAGAATACGATATCACTTCTATTCTGGATATTAAATACTTCATATCAGTTAACTGTGTTCCTGTACTATTTTAGGAACCCCTGCTTACGTAAGAACTCTGACTAATAGCTTGCGAGTTACAGTCAGGCACCAGTAAAGTGCACGTCCTCAATACCAATGCCGTGGTTAAAACTATGCACACATCTTGTCAAAACTACAAATAGTGATAACCTGGCTGAGAATGAAGTAATTTGAATGAAATTTTCAATATTTTCATTTTACATTATCTATTTTTGAGCTTTTATAGCAAAAATGGTCAGCTCTTTATCTAAATCTTACATAATGTATCTTTAAAGATAAATGCCACTTAAAGATACATTATGGGAGATAAGATAAAGAGATGGCACTTCTCGCTATAATAGTTAAAAACTAGATAGTGTAAAGGTAATTTGCTGAAAATTTCAGTCAAATTGATCCACTATGAGCCGAGAAAGAAGCAGGTGAAATTTTTGCATAGTCTCGGTCATCATTACTAAAATCATTAATATAAACAGCATAGTCTCGATTATCCACTTTTTCTGATTTAATTATCTTTGGCCGTTAGCGGCATATAGGAATCTAATCCAGCCTACATCGAAGGCTAGCCTTGAAATAGAGAGTTTATTATGGTCTGGATAAGTTAATTAATGTCTAATTGATAATTTAGATAACATTTCAGGCCTAAAGAAAGACTTTGCTCTTGCATAATGCATGTTTAAATATCAGAGAAAATGGCAAATATTTAAGATACATTATGGAAGATTAGATAAAGAGCTGGCAGTTCTCACTATCATAGTTAAAAACTAGATAATGTAAAGGGAATTTGCTGGAAATTTCAGTCAAATTAATCCACTCTGAACCGAAATTTTAGCGATTGAATTTTAGGCACAGCCTCGATCATCATTACTAAGAGTCGGTACGATAAAAACACATAGGCTCGATTATCCATTTCATGATTAAATCATGAATAGAAGTCGAACAACAAATCGGAACCTAATCCAATAAACATCGCAGCCTAGCGATGACATCGAGAGTTGATTGTGGTCTGGATAAGTTAATAAATGTCTAATTAATAATTTAGATAACATTTCAGTCGTAAAGAAAGACCTGCAAAAGGCAGATTTACCTCTTGCATAATGTATGTTTATTAAATTACAATGACATCATTATTAATATGACGTCATAATGTATGTTTAAATCACCTGCATAATGTATGTTTAATAATAGTATTGATCATAATGTATGTTTAAATGCCCAGTCTTCAATCATACTATGTGTCTGTTTAAATGATATGTACCAAATGTTTACATACAAGTCAAAAGCAAGGGAGACAACAGTGGTTCAGTGCTTATAAGGCGTTGAATCGCTGACCTAGAAGTCCTTGTTTGAACCCGGTGTTTACCGAGAAAGTTCATAAGGATTTTCTGGCGTACTTCCCCGCTGCCAGTGGTGTAGGACATAGGGCATGGCAAGGGACAATAATATAGTCGTTCGGATTGAACGAAAAACCGAGGTCCCGTGTACACATTAAGAACCCTTGACAGTTGAAATTTTATATAAGAGTAGGCTGTAGCACTACTGCCAGGGCAGAATTACCCTTATAACACATTTCTATTAGCCCGGTTGGAGCAGAAAAATAAGATATTAATAAACCCTATTTCGTTTCATTTTATAAGCGAGATAAGTCGCCTTAAAGAGGAATTGCAGTTTAAGTTTTATTTTTATATTCGATCTACAGTGGGTAAGATGCTGGCTCGCCAGCCTGGAGGTCGCGTGTTCGATCCCTGCATTGACCGAGAATGTTCATCGGAATTTTCCGGCGTGGTTTCGCCTTGTCAGTGGTGCAGGACGGGGGCCTGGCAAAGACAGCTGTCTAGTCGTTCGGATGGTTCGAAAACAGAGGTCCCGTGTATACATTGACGTGTACGTTAAAGATCCCTTGACAGGTGGAATTCGAAAAAAGAGTAGGCCATAGTGCCGCTGCCCGGGCAAAATTTCCCTCATAGCACACTGTATGGCGTATGCCCGTACGTCTTCATTAGCCCAGTCGGAGCAGAACAGTAAGACGTTAAACCCCATTTGATTTTAAAAGTATTTATTCAGAATTCTTATATACAACCATGGAGGGAATAATATGAATAAACTGGATACAATAACAAGCAACTTGATGCTTATATAAAACTGCTTCCAGAATAGGGTGACATGAATAGAGAGAAAGAGAGAGAGAGAGAGAGAGAGAGAGAGAGAGATGGGGTTTAACGTCCACTCGACACAAACTAGGTCATTTCGGGACTAACATATGGTTTAATTTTATTTCAATAATTCACTTGCGCGTAGGGGTCTTTAGCAGTGGCGGAAACCGGAGGACCCGGAGAAAACCCACGAGGTTGGAAAGGCGACCCTACTCCTTGTCACATACAACCGGGGATTCGAAACCACGCCAGTTGACTCAACGTTAAACCCCTCTCTCTCTCTCTCTCTCTCTCTCTCTTTGCCATGAAATACTGTTGACACGCCGAGCATATTATTATGGCGTATTATTTTACCAATCTGTTACCTTTATTAATGACTAGAAGAATGCCCGGCTTCGCTCGGTGGTCATAACCCCGAAACTGGAAGTGTTAGACTAACGCCACCTGGCCTATGTTACTCCCCGGTCCGAGCTACCCCTATACCCCAAATTTCAGACTCGGGGCAGACCTAGTGTATCCGCCAACCCCGAACAGACAGACAAACAGACAGACAAACGACAGTTACAAATATTAGTATAGATTTGAAGTTGTATAAAACTGTAGAATCAATGACAGTGTACCTTAACATGTTATCTATAAATCACGTTTTATCCAAAAATCCATTTTATATTGTTCGAATGTACTATTAAGAACAAGCTACTGACTGCAATGCTAGAAGCAAATATTTTAGTGGCCATTTATTTACAATCGTTTAGTTCAGTTCGGTTCAAAAAAAGGGATCTCTTTTAGGGATTATTTCTAAAAAATCTATTTTCTTACGATGATTTTTTTTAATTTAAAAGCTTTATTCTGTGTTCATTTTGGATAAATTATTGATTTTCAATCCTTTTATTTCAAACAACAACGATTTCTATTGGAGGTTATTTTACATTGTAGTCTCGGTTAACAGGCCGTAACAAATGATCTCAGGACATGTCTATTGGACAATAACACTCCTCTAAATGCGAAACAGGAAGTGTTTATCTCCTAAGTGAATTATTTTCGAGATTTTTTTTACGGTGAATTATTTTGGAGACTTTATGCTGTGTTCATTTGGGATAAATTGTGTGTTTGTGAATTATATGTTAGTGATTCTACTAACATAATTATATCATTATGAACAAACAAATAGTTTTGTATCCCTTCTACTGTGTTTCTGTTTTGTCAACTTTACTTTATCTATATTTTATGACAAATGTTCATCAATCAACCCCGACGTTTAAAGACGCAGGAACTCTCGGAAAATTGATAACTCATGCAAGTCAAACGGAAACCACTCAGAGAGCGCTAAACAATTTGATGAAACTTTCAAGTCAAACGGAAACCACTCAGAGAGCCCTAAACAATTTGATGAAACTTTCAAATCAAACGAAAAGCACTAACAAAATAAATGATCCCGAGAAGAATTTAAATCATTTACTGAAAAAGGACGAAATATCTCAACTCGAGATAGGCGATGAGAAAAAAAGGACACATTTTCTAGGATTAACGGGAGCTTCGGGTCGGTTTGGTAATCATATGTTTTTCTACGCGTCGTTAAGAGGAATAGGGGACGCTATCAATTATACACCCATTTTAAGTAGAACAGATCCTATACTTAAATTGTTTGAAATTAATTTGAATAATTCTGTCGACAAATTTACCTTGAACAATAATGTTGTGAAAGGTGAAAAATGTATAGGAATTTTTACCAAAGATCTGATGTCACCCATAAATAAGACAACTAATATAACAGTGTTTGGATACTTACAATCGTTTAAATATTTCCAAAACATAGAATCGGATATCCGAAAGGAGTTTATCTTGAAAGCGAACATTAAAGCTCGCGTCGAACATATTTTTAATACACTTAACGTAACACATCGGATAAAGGTTGGGGTTCATGTTAGAAGAGGTGATTTTGTGAATAGAAAAGGAACCAAGGTACCTACCCCTTCGTATTTTTATAAAGCTATGAATATACTGAGGCAGAATTTAACAAATCCAATATTTGTCGTGTGTTCAGAGGATAAGAAATGGGTGACAGATTATTTACAATTTAACGATTCGGTTATTGTTCATGAAAGTGTAGAAGTTGATTTTGGAGTATTAATGAGTTGTGATCATAGTATAATATCATCTGGAACTTTTGGTTGGTGGACCGCCTATTTAACGAAAGGTACCAGCATTTATTTTAAGGGATTTCCCTCGCCCCCTCTTCTTGGATGTATCATTCCTCCAGACTATTATCCATCTGATTGGATTGGACTCGAGTAATCCATGTACTTGAATTCAACTCTGATTAGCTATAAATATCTGTTCGAGATCTGTATTTAGTTGTATGTCTCTGATAATTTGATTAAAACAAAGATCCTATTTCGTTTCGCTTTTATTGTTCAAATTTTTGTTTTACTTGCCTTTTCTACACTAGGATCCGGAAGAGTTGTTATATTACCGGCGTTTTGGTTGAAGTGAAAGATTAGCCAATGAAACGATCTGTTACTGCGAGTTTTGGCATGCTCTGCACGGAACTGTGGGTAAACCCCTACGCTGATTGATTATAATTAATGTCTGACGTCATAGGGTCAAAAGCGACCCCTGACATGACCTTCCAGTACAAATTTTTAGATCTCCATGTAGTGCAGGCCATCGAAAGCATAGAAAAAAAACGAAACGAAATATAGATTTGTATTTTGATCAGATTGCATTTTGCACCGTGAACATTGAAATAATATTGGCAACGTTATTCTTCCAAAAAGTGTACTCACTATAGAAGCGATCGTTAAAGCTGTCATTACTGCCACAGCAGGTAAAGACAGGCATGTCTGATTAATCATCGAACACAATGAAAACACGTGTTGTATGGGTAGAAATAAATGAAGAATATGGACATTGCAAGTATACAGAATTGACAAATAAATTGACATGGATAATATAACCATATTGTAAACATTGTTGGTCCTATTAGGTTGGATGTGTATATACATAGAGGGATCGGCACTGAAGATAAGCTACGGTCTGGTCGCCCTTGTGAAGTGACAATCCAAGATAAAATAGTCTGGAGGCTCAGCGCGGGGGGGGGGGGGGGGTCCATCAAATGGGCACAAAACCAGACCCAACTTTTCTAGAGTAAAATTTTGCGTAGAATACGATGCCGAGTGGTAATCAGTCCGCCGTTGGGGCGTTTTCGAGATATTCGGGGTCAAAGGTCAAATGAGTTCACACACATTTATTCTCTCAGTTTTAATTGATTATCTTTGCCTTCACGCACATTTATACTCCCAGTTTTAATTGATTATCATAACCTCCACGCACATTTAAACTCCCAATTTTAATTGATTATCATAACCTCCACGCACATTTATACTCCCAGTTTTAATTATCATAACCCCCACGCACATTTATACTCCCAGTTTTAATTGATTATCAAAACCTCCACACATATTAATACTCCCAGTTTTAATTGATTATCATAACCTCCACGCACATTTATACCCCCAGTTTTAATTATCATAACCTCCACGCACATTTATACTGACAGTTTTTATTGATTATCAAAACCTCCACGCACATTTATACTGCCATTTTTAATTGATTATCATAACCTCCATGCACATTTATACTCCCAGTTTTAATTATCATAACCCCCACGCACATTTATACTCCCAGTTTTAATTGATTATCAAAACCTCCACGCACATTTATACTCATAGTTTTAATTGATTATCATAACCTGCACGCACATTTATACTCCCAGTTTTAATTGATTAAAATTACCTCCACGCACATGTATACTCCCAGTTTTATTTGATTATCATAACCTCCACGCGCATTTATGCTTCTAGTTTTAATTGATTATCAAAACCTCCACGCCCATTTATACTGCCAGTTTTAATTGATTATCATAACCCCCATGCACATTTATACTCCCAGTTTTAATTATCATAACCCCCACGCACATTAATACTCCCAGTTTTAATTGATTATCAAAACTTCCACGCACATTTATGCTCCCAGTTTTAATTGATTATCAAAACCTCCACACTCATTTCTACTCCCAGTTTAAATTGATTATCATAACCTCCAGCTTTCGTAATATTTTAGATTAAAATCCCCCTAATGAGGCCATTGAGTCAACTGGCGTGGTTTCGAATCCCCGGTTGTACGTGACACGGAGTAGGGTCGGCTGTCCAACCTCGTGGGTTTTCTCCGCCCCCCCCCCCACTGCTAAAGACCCCTACGCGCAGGCGAATTATTGAAATAAAAATTAAACCATGTTAGTCCCGAAATGACCTAGTTTGTGTCGAGTGGACGTTAAACTCTCTATCTATCTATCTCTCTCTCTCTCTCTCATGACGATCATCAGCTTTAAAGTCTGCACGTGGAAAATATACGTAAAACTGACAATGCCGGTCTTTACCGAAGGATAAATGGAGTCACTTTACAATATCATTCATTTAATTTTCGCACTCTTGTCGAAATACCCACACCATCTCCTTTCTCCATAAATTTTTTTTTTCTTGTTGATGGCATGTAATGTATCATCAATCCAATTTATGGACCATTTTGCAGAATCTGTTTGCCTTGTCTCTGACCTGTATCATTTAAACCGGCTTTCGTTACAAATATCGATTTTAAAGGCTCAATACCACTCTTGTTGTAACTGAATAATATTCTGGTCAACAAATTGTACTATTTTACAATATTCCAATTAATTGACGATACAAATTTTATCTTAACACACCTAATTTAAAAAAATTGGAAAAATTCAACTAAATGATTTGAAAAGCTTGACGTAAAGCTTTTCAAATGTGACTTGGATTTAAAAATATTTTTGAACCCTTTGAACAAGTAAAATGTTGATTTAAAGGGACTAAATCGCTAATATTCTGGACCTAGAAATTGACACAAATGGATCACAACGCATATAATAATATAAATGTATATAAACTGATTTACATTCAATCGTTTCTGTTGTTACTGTAATTTCTAATCAGTTATGTTCGGCGAAATACGCCAGAAGTCCCTATCGATTGGCAATCTATAGTGTCTGGTTATTCCAGTCTACACAGATAGTATTTATTGCGCATGCGATATCGCCTCGGTGGAAGGGGACGTTAAATAAAGCTATTTCATACACAGGTAAGGACATGGCGTCACCGTTTGAGAATGAGAGAAATGGGGTTTAACGTCCACTTGACAAAAACTAGGTCATTTCGGGACTAACATATGGTTTAATTTTATTTCAATAATTCGCTTGCGCGTAGGGGTCTTTAAAAGTGGGAGGAAACCAGAGGAACCAGAGAAAACCCACAAGGTTTGACAGGCGACAGGTGACTTGTGGAATATGTCTAGCCTAGTTCTTTGAGTTCCTTGTTACAAATGGCACTGAAACGCATTATGGTACACAATTCGTGTACCAATGGTAAAATAGTTATTTTGTCTTAAATATTGGATATCAGAAGCCCATCTTTTCCCGGTAAGACCACAACATCAATGTTGATTTAAATTGACAAATAAATCGTGTTTTCAATGTCGAAGATTTTAGATGATATTGAGTTAGAGACTTAGCTACTTTAAATTGACAAATAATTCGTGTTTTCATTGTCGAAGACTTTAGATGATATTACGCTAGAGAATTAGCTACTTTAAAGTAGATCCCTATATCTCTCCACGAAAATAAATAGTTCACATCTCTGCTGTCTTTTAAATGACATTAATTACGATTTAATTAATAATGCAGCTATATTCAACACGTCCAGTCGGATCAGTCTTGTTATACAATACATGTAAAGCCGGCCTCGCAAACTGCGATTTCCGTTTGGATACGACAGAACAAAGTCGTGGCGTGTGATGATGTCAAAATAGCCTATTGTAGACATTACAGTAGCCTATTTGAGGCAATCGTAACGTATCATGGTTCTGAAATTTATTTTAATTCCATTTCCCAATGACAACAGTACTCATATTTTGCGCATAATGAAGTTGAGAACATGAAGCAATGAGCCACGAGAGAAAACTGTCCAGACAGTGGCCCTTCGACTTCTCTTATTTGGATTTCCATATATCGGGGAATGTATCGGTAAATACGAGACCTCGATTTTCGTCCCATTTCAACGACTAGACGACGCTTCGCCTTGCATGGCCGTCCGCCCGTCCTTGGCCAACACAACGATTGACCCCTGGACCATCCGACAACTAGAAACCTGACCCGGACTAACATAAGCATTCCCAGTTAAGAATTTACTTCAATCACTGTTGTGAGAGGGAGAGAGAGAGAGAGATATGGGGTTTAACGTCCACTCGACACAAACTAGGTCATATCGGGACTAACATATGGTTTAATTTTATTTCAATAATGCGCTTGCGCGTAGGGGTCTTTAGCAGTGGGAGGAAACCGGAGGACCCGGAGAAAACCCACGAGGTTGGACAGGCGACCCTACTCCTTGTCACGTACAACCGGGAATTCAAAACCACGCCAATTGAGTCCAGTGCCGGACTGGGCCCACCTGTCCACCTATCCGTGACAGGTGGGCCTAAGCTCATTAAAAAAAAGTGGGCCTAAGCCTATAAAGAAAAAAGAAAAAAGAGAAAGAAGAAAGAAAAAGACCTGAATTACTTTGGCTATCCTTGAAGCTAAAGAAATAATTTGTTACTTCTTAGAGGTGGATCACGGTGGCTAAGTGGGTAAGGCGCTGGCTCGCTAGCCTGGCGGTCGGGTGTTCGATCCCTGCATTGGCCGAAAAAGTTCATCCAGATTTTCCGGCGTGGTTTCCCCTTGTCAGTGATGCAGGACGGAGGGCCTGACAAGGACAGCTGTCTAGTCATTCGGATGAGACGAAAAACCGAGGTCCCGTGTACACATTGGCGTGCACGTAAAAGATCCCTTGACAGGTGGAATTCGATATAAGAGTAGGCCGTAGTGCCGCTGTCCGGGCAAAATTTCCCTCATAGCACACTGTATGGCGTGTGCCCGTCTTTATTAGCCCAGTTCGGAGCAAAACAGTAGGACGTTAAACCCCATTTCATTTCATTTCATTTCATTTACTTCTTAGAGAACAATTAATTATCAGTTATCATCACAGAAGTAAACAAATATTATCATAAGCTCTGAGGTTCAGGAGCTTATGATGATATTCGTTTACTTCTGTGAGTGCGAAGATTATCGGTGTATTCTGTGATGTGCGTCAACAGAACTGTCAAATACGTGTACTGTATGTATATGATAATTTGCATTATTTTCATCACGGAGAATAAAAGGTTGGGTTTTTTTTTGACACCTAGAGAATTCTCAAATTCATCTAATGATAGTGCTCTTAGGTCATTCTGTTATCTAATTTGTCTTCTTCTGCTTTGGTCTGAAATGCTTGGGAAATGGATTTGCGGTTGTCAATTTTCAAAATTTTTCTAGAAATTCGCGCGCCTTCGGCGTACTTGTGTGGGCCTTGGTTAATGACCTGACAGGTGGGAGAGAGAGAGAGAGAGAAATGGGGTTTAACGTCCACTCGACACAAACTAGGTCATTTCGGGACTAACATATGGTCCAATTTTATTTACATAATTCGCTTGCGCGTAGGGGTCTTTAGCAGTGGGAGGAAACCGGAGGACCCGGAGAAAACCCACGAGGTTGATCCTGACAGGTGGGCCAAACAGTCCGGCACTGATTGAGTCAATGACAGGCTTTATGATACTGTTGATGAGAAATAACGAATTGGTAATATGATTTTAACATTCAGCAAACCGGCTGTATGACGGTAAGTGATATGTAGATACACCCATACAATTGTGATGTGGCGACCGGTTTATTTGTTAGGAAAACTTGCAACTTTTGAAAGAAGTTCTCAAAATGGCGTCGTTCGAAGAGAGTGTAGTTTTCATTGTAAAGTTTCCCTTGTTTGAAGAAAATCGGATAAACTTGGAAGAAAACAGCTTCAGACATTGAAAGCGTTGTATAATGTATACAGTGTCGTGAGATAAAACACTCTTCACGGATAGGCGTCTTCTTTGGTGCTAGGGGGTGGGGTGGGGGTCGATGGCCGAATGGTTAGCACGTGCGCGCTCTATCATAAGGTCTGTCATTGAGTCAACTAGTCTGGTTTCGAATGCCCGGTTATACATGACAAGTATAGGGTCGCCTGTCCAACCTCGTGGGTTTTCTCCGGGTCCTCCCAATGATTAAGACCCCTACGTGCAAGCAAATTATTGAAATAGAATTGAACCATGTGTTAGTCCCGAAATGACCTAGTTTATGTCAAGTGGACGTTATACCCAATATCTCTCTCTTGGGCGCCGCCATTTTTAATTGAGGAACTTGAAAGATGTTCCAATGGGGGAATTCGTCATACGGCCGAGGTTAGATTTAGGTTACCGGAGTTTGCCGAATGATGATTTTAATTAATATGGGTGTCTTGGGACTAACCATGATTGATCAATTCCTAGTAGTAAGACCAGATGATAGAGTATTTGTCATCTTGTACCGGATGTTAACAAATTATTCTTCTGTTTGTATTGAAATGAAAAGCCTTAGAGTAAAACGAATTGGTCATGCGCAAAAATATGATTGAAAGCAATTTTGTTGGAGAGAGAGAGAAATGGGGTTTAACGTACACTCGACACAAACTAGGTCAATTCGGGACTAACATATGGTTTAATTTTATTTCAATAATTCGCTTGCGCGTAGGGGTCTTTAGCAGTGGGAGGAAACCGGAGGACCCGGAGAAAACCCACGAGGTTGGACAGGCGACCCTACTCCTTGTCACGTACAACTGGGGATTCAACGACAGACTTCATGATACAGCGTGCACACGCTTACCATTCAGCCACCCAATTTTGTTGGATAGCATAACGTAATAAAATAACCATTATCAACTTGACGACATAATGTCTATTAGATATCTGGTTTGGGGAAGCCGCGGTACAGTCTAAGAATCCTTACGCAAGTTCATATAGGTTCAAACGCACAATTGTCAACACATATCATTACAGTTTGTATTGGAATAAGTAATTCTATGACAAATAGTGAAGACTGGACCACTAAAATAGTTACCGAACAGTTTTTCTTTATGGTTATGCGTTCTACATTTGCATAGCGATGTTTCTTGTAATGACGTATTACACAAGCCGCCATGACACCAGCCGGTTGAAATTTCGCGGAGCAGTTGGGTTTCATCAAATCATATAATTATGCGGTAAGGCTTCACCTTTATTTCAATAGGAATAGATTTATTATCAGTTAAGCTAGGTGCAGTACTGTTTTGGGCCAGTTTATGTGTAAATTAAGGGAGCTATAGGCCAGTAACCTTTTTGTAGTTATTTCACTAAAAAACTTGCGCAAAGGAACTCCTGTAGGACGAGCCACTACTGTGGCTGGAGTAAGGCGGAAGACATCAGTAGTGGAATCATTTCTAGGGGAAGGGGGGCGTGGGGTCTCTGAGTAAGGCGTTGACACGCCAACATGGATGTCCTAGCGCGGTGTTCGATCCCGGTATGGTTCTCTCGTGTCGTTCGAATGGGTGAAAATCGAAGGTCGTGCAATAAGAGTAGGCCGTACACGAGACCTTGATTTTTCGTCTCATCCGAACGACTAGACGCTGTTTCTAGCCAGGTCCACCAGGTTACTGAGTCACCGCGAGGAACCATTAGGTCGACTAATATATCCGGTCATTTGCTCCTATGTTGACAGTTTAAGACAAATATGGAGTTTAAAGGAGAGAGGAGAGAGAAGAGAGAGATGGGGGGGGGGGGGTAACGTCCACTCGACACAAACTAGGTCATTTTGGGACTAGCATATGGTTCAATTTTATTTCAATAATTCGCTTGCGCAAAGGGGTCTTTAGCAGTGGGAGGAAACCGGAGAAAACCCACGAGGTTGGACAGGAGACCCTAATCCTTGTTACGTACAACCGGGAAAGACAAATGTAGCCGTGTTCGAAAACAAATATACGCCCAGCAGTAGCATTTTGAATTGCGCCTTTCAAGACAGGGGCAATAACTACGCATAAAATCGATAATTAAGTCTCAATTTTGATAGCCGAACTATTTTAATTTTTTATGTCTCGGATTTCTTTTACAGATTTCAAGTGATTCGCCATTATACGTCCGCGGAATCCTAAACAGACGGGGATAATGAAGACGGGCATACGCCAGTGTGCTATGAGGGAAATTTCCCACGGACAGCGGCACTACGGCCTACTCTTATATCGAATTCCAACTGCCAAGGGATCTTTTACGTGCACGGCAATGTGTACACGGGACCTCGGTTTTTCGTCCCATCCCAACGACTACACAACTGTTCTTGCCAGGCCCTCCGTCCTGCATCACTGATAAGAGAAACCACGCTGGAAAATCTGGATGAACTTTCTCGGCCAATGCAGGGATCCAACACCCGACCTCCAGACTAGCGAGCCAGCGTGTTACCCACTTAGTCACCGTGGCCCCCGACACAGGAATTAAAACAAGCCAACAGTGAGACTGATGTCCCCCGCCGAAATCCCAAAATAAATAGATGAGACACATTAATTAATCGCACATTTTTTTTTTCAAAAGTATCAAGCAATCAAACTATACACTAAGTTTCATCACTCTCTATCAGATAGAATCAAGATTATCTTGTCCCAAAGCATCGACCAATGAAATTGATCTTCAGCTGAAAATGTTAATCATTGAACTCAGTCAAGACATTCACCTAATGAACATCTACATCAAGTCTAAAAATTCTACCTAAATTAAAAGCAGAGTTTTTATGTTCCGAAGTCTTGACCAATCAAATTGCTTATCGCTCATTAGCCTAAGCAGAAAATTCTCACCATCAGATTTCTTATTTCTGCTTATCGTAAGCAAACAATGTTCATCATAGAACTCCAACAAGACATTCACCTAATGAACGCCTATGCCAAGTATGAACATTCTAAGAATGAGAGTTATCGTGTCCCAAAGCATCAACCAATCAAATTGCTTATCTCTGCATACCCTAAGCAGAAAATTTTCATCTTCGAACTCCATCAAGGCATTGACCTAATAAACACCTACACCAAGTTTGAACATTCTAGCTTAATTAGAAAGAGAGTTATTGTGTTCCAAAAAGTGTGACGGACAGACAGACGGACGGACGAGCCCATTTTAATAGTCCCCTGCTTTCTTCGAAAGGCGGGGGACAATAAGCCTGGACATAAAACGAAAACCATTACAATATTATAAATTACAAAAAATATATGAAAATTTATTTCCGGAAAAATAAATTACAAAAAAATCAATGATTAGCACTATGTGGCTTAAATGAATAAATATGGCTAGCAATAAATAAATGTGCCTTATATATACGTATATCATTTACATCACAGAAATGAAAATCTTATATCACAATTTATGTATGGTAACGTAGCTACGGTAAGGCCGAGAACAGTCAGCCAGCTCTGTATCGATGTCCCTTTAAGAAACCGCACCAAAATATCAATGGTTTCCCGGTCTGGATTCAAACGGATTGAAGAAAGATCGATCAAAAGAATCGACCGAACACGAGAGAGAGAGAGAGGGTTTACCGTCCACTCGACACAAACTAGGTCATTTCGGGACTAACATATGGTTCAATTTTATTTCCATAATTCGCTTGCGCGTAGGGGTATTTAGCAGCGTGAGGAAACCGGAGGACTCGGAGAAAACCCACGAGTTTGGACAGGCCACTTTACTCCTTGTCACGTACAACCAGGGAATCGAAACCACACCAGTTGACTCAATTACAGACTTTATGATACAGCGCGCACGTGCTAACCATTCAGCCATCCAACCCCCCCCCCCCCCCCGACCGAACACGTATAGGTGGCGATATCTTGTTAAAGCCAAGTTCAAAACCCACCGTAATTGTTTCGACACTCGCGGGACGTAGAGTTTTGTAGCTCGCACACCAACCGCAAGAAACCGGGTGAAAATTTTGTATGCGCAGGACCAAAAGTCTCTACGACCAGTCTGCGATCTTCTACGGTGCCGAGCATGTAAGTCTCACGTACGACTAGCATGTACGGCAGGTTGTGAGGCAGGCTTTATATTGTGTACAGCGAGAGGATGTCGAAATGTTGAGAAATAATAAATACATTTCTTTAGAAATACTAAACGGAATTTGGAATGAAATGGGGTTTAACGTCCTACTGTTCTGAACGGAATTGGACCATTCTTGGATTGCTATTCCACTTTAACATTATTAAAGTTTTCAAGGTATTCAAAATTCCTGAAATGACGATATGCGGCTAACATGTGTGAAAACCATATGCGCTGACCATAAAGCCCATTTTCCATGTACGCGTTTTCGATGCGTTTCCGTCAATTACATGGAAACGGAAATTGGGTTTAACGTCCTACTGTTCTACTCCGACTGGGGAAATGAAGACGGGCATGCGGCATATTGTGTGTTATGGGGGAAATTGTGCCCTGACAACGGCACTATGGCCTACTCTTATATGTGCACGCCAATGAGTACACGGGGCTTCAGTTTTTCGTCCCATCCGAACGACTATGCGTTGTTCCTTGCCAGGCCCTCTGTACTGCACAACTGGCAAGGGGGAACCACGCTGGACCTCAAGGTTAGCGATAGCGAGCCAACAACGTCTTATCCACTGAGCCACCGTGGCGCACACGAGAGAGAGAGAGAGAGATAGAGAGAGATGGGGTTTAACGTCCACTCGGCACAAACTAGAAAATCCACGACGTTGGACAGGCCTCCCTCCTCCCTGTCACGTACAACCGGGGAATCGAAACCACGCCAGTTGACTCAATGGCAGACCTTATGATACAGCGCACACACGCTAACCATTCGGCCATCCAACCCCTACATTAGCATTAGATCGACTTTTTTGTCCGCAAAAACGCGTACACGGAAAACAGGCCTTAGTTACACATTGTATAAAATGTAAGAGTCTAATAATTCTATTTGTTGGTCAACAAATATCCCGCAGCATTATACTTTGTTTATTGAGGAACCGAAGCTACTTCCCGATCCAGCGGACGAGACCAATGCTTGATATTTTGGAGCTATTCGACTACGGAAATCAGCTGCTAATAATGGCCGTTCCTCCGCGTTGATTGATTCCGATGTATGGACGGAAGACGAGGCGTCGGAATCTCTTAAACATTTCTTTCTCTTTTTGTTTAATACAGCACCCTGAAATAAATATATACGTAATAAAATGGGGTTTAACGTCCGACTGAGCTAATGAAGACGGGCATACGCCATACAGTGTGCTATGAGGGAAATTTTACTCGGACAGCGGCACTACGGCCTACTCTTATATCGAATTCCAACTGTCAAGGGATCTTTCACATGCATGCCAATGTGTACACGGGAACTCGGTTTTTCGTCTCATCCGAATGACTAGACAGCTGTCCTTGTCAGGATCCGTCTTGCATCACTGACAAGGGGAACCAAGACGAAAAATCTGGGTGAACTTTCTCGGCCAATGAAGGGATCGAACACCCGACCTCCAGGCTAGCGAGCCAGCGTCTTACCCACTTAGCCACCGTGGCTCCCACTAAATGACAGACCTTAGGCTACAATGCCTACGCACTAACCATTCAGCCATCCAACCCCTCCATGTGATCTTGAAATTTATAATTATAACAGAACAGAAGTGTCTCCAGGTTAGTAGCTTTTGTATTCACAACCACCAGAATAAACCCACTCGAAACTCCTGGTGCGGTCAAGAACGAAAACAAATCATCAGTACTTTCTCCTTTAATTATAAGGCAGACATGGTGTAGCCCACTCACTCCTCGACACAATGGTGACCAGTACTATAACGATATACCTGGACAGAAGCTAAATCGGAAACGGCGAGAAGTCGTTTCTCCCAGCTGTGTTTACTAAGATTGAAACGGCTAATATCCGGTTTAATGGCGTTACTTAATTAGACCTAATTAGCTGTACTTGCGTCAGTTAGTATTCTGGGGCCCGTCTCACTCACTTTTAACTAAGATAAAATCCAAATTTTAGTAATTTGATTAGATAATATTAGATTGATTTTAGTGCTTAGCCAATCAAAATTGAAGTATCTACTAAAATTTGGATTTTATCTTTAGTTAAAATTTCGTGAAACAGGGCCCAGATCTATATTTCGTTTCGGTTTTTTTTTATACATTCGATAGCCTGTACTACATGAAGATCTGACCGGTTGTAGTAGAAGGTGGCGTCATAGGTCATACGAGTGGCTTTTGACCTATGACGTCAGACATCAATTAATCAATCAGCGTTGACGTTTTTAGTGGTTTACCGACAGTTCCATGCATGGCACCACAAAGTCTCCATTACTACACTAGGATCTGGAAGAGTTGTTATATAACCCGCATTCTGGATGATGTGAGGGATTAGCCAATGAAACGGTCTGTTGCGTCGAGTTCTTGGCGTGTGATGCATGTAACTGTGGGTATCCTACTAGAAACATCAATGCTGATTGGTTAATCAATGTCTGACATCATAGGATCAAATGTCGCTTGTACGACCCTTGACACAGCCTACCATTACAACTGGTCACATCTTCATGTAGTGTAGGCCATCCAAAGTATAAAAAACGAAATGAAATATAGATCTGTATTTTAATCAGATTGTCTTGGAATGGTGCCACTTGTGCCACTTGTGCCATAGGCTGGCAACCCCTGTTTTACCTTATTCCATTGTATGTAATTTACAATGATTTCTTTTACTTGTGTTACAGCAAGAGAGAGAGAGAGAAATGGGGTTTAACGTCCAATCGACGCAAACTAGGTCATTTCGGGACTAACATATGGTTAAATTTTATTTACATAATTCGCTTGCGCGTAGGGGTCTTTAGCAGTGGGAGGAAACCGGAGGACCCGGAGAAAACCCACGAGGTTGGACAGGCGACCCTACTCCTTGCCACGTAAAACCGGGGATTCGAAACCACGCCAGTCGGCTCAATGACAGACTTTATGATACAGCGCGCGCACGCATTACAGCAAGAAGTAGAGAAGTAGAAGTTCATGGATTAACAGCACGTAATGTAGATAGTACTAATATACATTAACAATTATATTGTCTTACCTGTTTCGAATCTACTACATTTAATAATATACTGAAGAAGAGACAGATTATTATTATTACTGTTAAAAATATTAGAGCCTCTGTCCAACCTTTCATTTTATCAGAACTGAAAGAAAAACAGACAATTTGTTTGTTTAAAAAATACATTACAGAGATCGGTGCCCTTAACAAAAGTTGTCACTTCCAAGGGTTCCCTGGCATTCTCATCCACTTGGATCACATTAAACATACATTATGCAAGAGCTAAACCTGTCTATTGCAGGTCTTTCTTTAGGCCTGAAATGTTATCTAAATATTAACTAGACATTAAACATACATTATGCAAGAGCAAAATCTGATTATTGCAAGTCTTAATTTAGGCTTCAGATGTTATAGAAATTATAAATTAGATCTTTATTTAAACAACAAGCCCAAAATCAACTCTGTAGACCCACGGATGGCTCGGCTACAGCTCAGATTTAAATGGATTTCACTTATCAATTAATTCAAATATGGCGCATACTGATGAGAATACGTCAGTTAGATCGAGGCTAAATGATAGAGTGTACTTAGCGAGGCCGCTGTAGAGCGTTTCCGCATGCCATTGAAAACTTTACTTGATAATCGAGATATGTAGGTGGAGTTAACGCCTGTCTATCAAACGATCAGCCACGGTGAAGGCACATTTCACTACCATTTCTAGTCAAATATTACAACGATGATAACTATGTTCAGAATAAAGTAATTTGACTGAAATTTTCAAAATATTCTTCTTTCATCATCTACTGTTGAACTGTTATAGCAAGAATGGCCAATTCTCTGTAAAAATATCCCATAATGTATCTTTAATTAACTTATCCAGACCATAATCAACTTTAGTAATGATGATGGAGGCTAGGCTAATATCTCGGTTCATAGTGGATCAATTTGACTGAAATTTTCAGCAAATTGCCTTTACATTATCTAGTTTTAAACTATTATAGTGAGAACTGCCAACTCATTATCGAATCTCCCATAATGTATCTTTAAGAATTAAAGTATTTAAAACATAGACTTTTAGTATTCGGACATCAAATAACCATGACTTCATATATTAATGGAATTTAGTATAGACTATATTTAATGTATCTTTAATAAATAAAGCAACCAATAAAATAGAAATTGTAAAACGTTTTTATGAAAAATAAACTATAAACATACTTATGGAAAACAGCTACTGATTTATTTTGGCGAAATTTCGAATAGTATTCTCTCAATGTTTTCAACGTCTTGGAAACGTCGCCTAAATAAATCAGTAGCTGTTTTCCATAAGTATGTTTATAGTTTATTTATCTGCCCAGTTACTAAATGCCACTTAAAGATACATTATGGGAGATAAGATAAAGAGATGGCAGTTCTCGCTATAATAGTTAAAAACTAGATAGTGTAAAGGTAATTTGCTGAAAATTTCAGTCAAATTGATCCACTATGAGCCGAGAAAGAAGCCGGTGAAATTTTTGCATAGTCTTGGTTATCATTACTAAAATCATTAATATAAACAGCATAGTCTCGATTATCCACTTTTTCTGATTTAATTATCTTTGGCCGTTAGCGGCATATAGGAATCTAATCCAGCCTACATCGAAGGCTAGCCTTGACATCGAGAGTTTATTATGGTCTGGATAAGTTAATTAATGGCTAATTGATAATTTAGATAACATTTCAGGCCTAAAGAAAGACTTGTAATAAGCAGATTTTGCTCTTGCATAATGCATGTTTAAAGAATATTATTGTTGTTTTTATGGTTATTATTTTAGTTGAAATACAAATTATAATGGTACATAAGAATGTTATTTCACTTCTGACGTGAATTGGAATTATAATCAAATATAAAAATCTAGAGAATCAACAAATTAACCAACTGGGTAGATGCCATTTACCCCCTGGCTTCAGAACACTTACATTAATGGTTAATGCTAAATGATAAGGCCAGCACAATTTTTCGTCGTAGGTTATGAGATGTAAACAGGGCTAGCACTAATTCCAACCCTAACCCTGGACCTAGCCCCTAATGCTTACCCTAACACTAACCTACAATCTCGCCAACAGCGCGCACGTGCTAACCATTCGGCCATCCAACGACCCCCCCCCCCCCCTAGTTTAATAAACTAATTGTTGAAAGACTTACTGTTCATAAAAAGATAATATTCTTCCCATACCAACATTAGTAGCTCCTATACCTATATATTGTAATGATGTTAGTATACCCATTGCTGTACCTAATGCTCTTGGTTTGACTAGCAGTGGTACTGATGGCCACATAGATACCTTCAAAATAATTATTATAATGTATTACAAAAACAGTCCGACAGGCACCAAAACATGCCCACATAGACACCTTCAAAATAATTATTATAATGTATTACATAAACAGGCTGACAGGCACCAAAACATGCCCACATAGACACCTTCAAAATAATTATTATAATGTATTACATAAACAGGCTGTAGGGTTCCCGCAGCTTCGTCAAACATTTTTTCAAGGATATTCAAGGATAAATATACGTCAAATTCAAGGATTTTCAAGGACATTTTTTAGCCTAAAGTTACAATTTTTCATCTTAAAAATAACCAAAACATTACCAACTATTGTTATTATCTCATATTTAAAAGGAATTGAAGACATTTGAAACAAACTTAAGGATCTCAACTGAAATTCAAGGATATTTTCCTATTTCCACGAAATTCAAGAATATTTAAGACCTTGAAAATGAAATTTTAAATTTATTGATTTTTAAGGACCGCGGGAACCCTGAGGCTGACAGGCAACAAAACCAATCTGATTAAAACACAGATTGTTTCATATTTATAGTTCAAAATTTCGTTTAATTTGTCTTTACTACACTAGGATCTGGAAGAGTTGATATATAACTCACGTTCTGGTTGATGTGAGGGATTAGCCAATGAAACGGTCTGTTACGGTGAGTTTTTGGCATTTGATGCGTAGAACTGTGAATAATCCACTAGAAACATCAATGCCGATTGGTTAATTAAATATCTGATGTCATAGGGTCAAAAGCCACTTGTATGACCTCTGACATGACCTTGAACTACAACCAGCCAGATCTTCATGTAGTAGAGGCCATCAAAAGTATAATAAAAAAAACGAAACGAAATATAGATCTGTATTTTAATCAGATTGGGAACGAAACCTGCCCACAACAATTTACTTGATTCTGAACAGGAAGTATTCTGTAGAGTGTTCACAAGAATTTTTAAACAACTTGGACAGGGGTAAGGAGAAGATATTCCTACATGAATGTGGGCATATATGAAAAAAGGAGGGAGAGAGAGAGAGAGAGAGAGAGAGCTTAACCTCCACATGACACAAATGACATTTCAGGACTAACATGGCTCAATTTTATTTCAATAATTCGCTTCCGTGTAGAGGTCTTTAGCAGTGGAGAGGAAACCGGAGAAAAAAGAAGAGAAGTCTTCAATTTAAGTGTCAAATTACCATAAAATCCATTGCAAATATTTAATTAAATACACAGTTAAACTTACAGTGTTCAAAGAAATGATTTAAAATTGTAATTTTAAAAAAGAATTATTTAGTTATAAACATTCTTTTATAAACATTTAAGAAATAGGTCCAATATAATGTGCACTTTAAAATACACATCAACTAAATTTAATTGACTGTTTCTCAATTACAATTAAATTACAAGTCCTTTTTAAAATATATTTAATTAAAACTCTTGTAAAATTATAAAACTGAGAATTTATGTTAAAGAGCTAGTCATTGAAAAATGAAATCAAGAGGTATTCAAACTAGGGAGTAGTACTGAAGCCAAGAGAGAGAGAGAGAGAGAGAGAGAGAGAGAGTTTAATGTCCACTCGTCACAAACCACGTCATTTCGGGACAAACACACGGTTCAATTATATTTCAATAACTTTCTTGCGCTTTGGGGTCTTTAGAAGTAACCTGAGGACCCAGAGAAAACCTGTGAGGTTGGACAGGCGACCCAACTCCTTGTCACATACAACCAGATAATCAAAACCATGTCACTCAATGACAGACTTTATGATACAAAGTTCACACATGTTACATATTATCAATAGCTACACAAAAACTCTTAAATTGATTTAGACCATATTTTGATCCACATCAATATTCTGATATAAAAAAGTTTTATTTCTTTGACATCGGCAGGACTAAACATATCAATTATTCATTTTTTTTAGTAAATATTGAACTGGTCATGAATTGTGAGACGAATCGAATTGTAGCACAGATGTCACAATATGTATCTTTTCGTATAATGACTGCAGTGGCAATACCCACGACTAGTTTTTTTTCATCCCATGAATCCGAACTAGAACTGTGGACAGACTGATGACAATATACCCAGGTCGCACCTCCAGGTTATAGAACCAGTGTCTTACGCAGAGCCATCGTGGCTCCCCTAGAACCAAGGGCGTGGATTTGTCATAACTTTTGGGGGGACGGACGAACCCTGGAACCTTTCATTACCAAACCAAAATAGTAATTACGAACAGTTTACCAGTGTTATTTCGATAAAAGCTGTAACTAGAGGTAATATGATGACGATATGATAAAATTGACTACATACAATTAAGGAGGAAGATATCGTGAAGATGAATTACTGTGGTGAGACCCAAGGCAGTGGTTAGATAGCCTTCAGAACGGGACATTCAGGTGGATATAAACCTGAAAATCTGTCCTTGCTATCAAAACCATGGGGGGGGGGGGGGACAGAGACTTTTTCATACCCCCCCCTTCCGATATACCCTAAAGTAGACATTTAAAGTAGCTAAGTCTCTAACTCAATATCATCCACAGTCTTCAACATTGAAAACACAAATTATTTGTCAATTTAAATCAACAATGATGCGATCTTACCACGAAAGGATAGGCGGGCTTCTGATATCCAATATTTAAGACAGAATAAACATCCTACCATTGGTACATGAATCGTGTACCATATTGCATTTCAGTGCCATTTGTAACAAGGGACGCAAAGAACAAGGCTAGACATAGACCACAAGTCATGTCAAACGATAACCCCATATTCTAATCTGGAGAGCATGCCCAATAAATACTATCGGCGTAGACTGGAATAACCAGATGCTAGAGATTACCATTTGATCGAGACTTCTGGCGTATTTCGCCGAACATAACTGATTAGAAATTACAGTAAAAACAGAAACGGTTGAATGTAAATCAGTTTATATACTTTCATATTACATTATTGTATGCATTGCACCCATCTGAGTCAATTTCTAGGTCCCAGATATTAGCGATTTAGCTCCTTTAAAGATAGGTTGCCAGGCAACAAAACATACACCCACAGCAGCTAAATTGTCCGAGTGGTCGAGAAGGGTTCTCGTATATCTATTCTTTTGTAGATAATTGGGGGCTTTCATTTTACAAGAAATTTAAATAAAGATCAGATTATAATTTTTGTCGTTTTAGGGTTCACAAGGTTCTACAAACTGAAACAAGAGCCTTAACTCTGGAAGTAACTTACAGAAATTGTTGAAATTTTGACCAGCTTTTTCGTTTTATAAAAAGCAGACCATCCCTTTAAATAACTAAATTAAGATTCTACTTACAGCAGCAAATGTATAATTAAAGCCTATTATAAGAGAAGCTAAATAGGCTGGTATGTTGGTGAAGACTACTAATGGTAAAATAGGTACTGTAAACGCTGCACTAAATATCATCAAAAAACCTCTATATCCAACTCTATCCTGTAATATATATATAATAATATAGGTTGCCAGAACATAAAACATAACCAGAGAGAGCGGGAGACAGAGAGAGAGAAATGGGGTTTAACGTCCACTCAACACAAACCAGGTCATTTCGGGACTTACATATGGTTTAATTTTATTTCAATAATTCGCTTGCACGTAAGGGTCGTTAGCAGTGGGAGGAAACCGGAGGACCCGGAGAAAACCCACGAGGTTGGACAGGCGATCCTACTGCTTGTCACGTACAACTGGGGAATCGAAACCATGCCAGTTGACTCAATGACAGACCTTATGGTACAGCACGCACATGCTAACCATTCAGCCAACCAAAGAGAGATGGGGTTTAACATCTTAAGGATTAACATACTAGGTCATTTCGGGACTAACATATGGTTTAATTTTATTTCAATAATTCCCTTGTGCATAGGGGTCTTTAGCAGTGGGAGGAAACCCACGAGATTGGACAGGCAACCCTACTCCTCGTCACGTACAAACAGGGAATCAAAACCACGCCAGTTGACACAATGTAGCACCATAGGTCTTTTGTCTGACGTGGAGAGCGGACGTTGTCAAACCGGTCGCCACATCCTACATACGACCCATGCATCTTTTCTTACTACATATTTCTGTAGCCTTGTGATCGTCTAGAATTTGTCTCTAGCTGTCTTTACTTCTGTTTCACGTTGTGTATTTACACTAGTTAAAACCATTTCTCCACCCTAGCCAGCCTTGCGGTTGTCTAGGAACTCAGATGGAACCTCTCTGGAATCTAATGGAAGTCTAACTTAAAACTTTACTATGATTTCTTTTATAAGACTCCTGCATATCACGCTCAGAAAGCCTGTTCATGGCCCTGAACCTGTGCAATTAACGATATGATGGCACGTGATATCTGGTGGTATATTATTGACAAATGTTTTGGTTAAATAGCTCTTTTTATGTGTCAACTGTCAATTACAGACTAAGTTGATTTAGTACACACTATATATAATATATATGTGAATATGTGTAAAGCTATTAATTTGCCAAATATATTAATTAATGAAATATAAAGTCATCTTATTTCTCTATTCTTTGTCTATAAATTTAAAAACAATGTCGCAACGACTATATTGTTACATTAATGACAGACCTTATGATTTAATGTATACGTGTAAGACCATTCCGCCATCCAACGTCTCGAAGTTTATAAAGATTTACCATGTTTGAGTGGCATTTGGCAATCAAAACCATGCCAGTTGACTCACCGACAGACATAATGATACAACGCGCACACGCCAACCATTCTGAAGTCCACCCCACCCCCACAATGTAACATACCACGATAATTCCAACAATTGGTGCTGCTACCATGGCAACATCATACGGTTCACCAGCAATATACGACGCCTCACTTTTACTATAACCGTATTTATCTTGATATAATTTACTGAAATAAAATTAAAATGGTGCAAGTTTACAAAACATTCTCGGCCTCCAGGTTAGCGAGCCAACGTCTAACTCATTGAGCCACCGTGGCTCCTTCTACAAGTTATGCCACGGCTGTCAGAGTCGTAGTCAAATACGAATTCTGATGCATATGATAGATTTCCTATTGCTATCAATGGATCAGAAATGTTGAATTCTTGAAAGTCACTTGGGCAGTTTAGAGAGAGAGATTTGGGGTTTAACTTCCACTCGACACAAACTAGGTCATTTCGGGACTAACATATGGTTAAATTTTATTTCAATAATTTGCTTGCGCATAGGGGTCTTTAGCAGTGGGAGGAAACCGGAGGACCCTAAGAAAACCCATGAGGTTGGACAGGCGACCCTACTCCTTGTCACGTACAACCGGGGATTCAACCATCTAAATAAGTCTGACAAAACAACACATATTTGTAGAGCATTTTTGATGACAGGAACTTGGGTGAAAACTCGATATATGACTCATTGACAGGATAAGGATTAGCCTAGTAACAAGCTCAGCAATTTTAAAAATAAAACCACGAATTAACAGTGTTGGGGATCCGACTGATGGCGAGACAATGGGTCTTAGTTTCTATCTGAACACACCTGCTATGTTAGGTGATCCAAAATATTATTCTTTTAGCATAAAAGAAATGCCAACATATTACCTTGAATCTGCTACATATGGTATGATGGTTGAATAGGAGAACATAGTAACTATAGTTAGCAGCCAAAATGTTGCTGAAAACTGACCAATATCTGATATACTCTGAAATATTATTATAGCTAAATATATCATATAGAATTAAACAGGAATTAAATGGAATATCTAGAATTAAATGGAATATTGTTATAGTTATAAAATCTAGAATTAAATGGAATATTGTTATTGCTATATATAACATCTAACATCTAGAATGAAATGAAATATAATATCTAGAATCAAACTGAATGGGCTTTTAAAATAGAAAGCATTTACAATGGACATTATTAAACATGCATTATGCAAGAGCTAAATCTGCCTATTGCAGGTCTTTCTTTAGGCCTGAAATGTTTTCTAAAGTATTAATTAGACATTAATTAACTGATCCAGGCCTTAATCAACTCTCGATGGCATCAGATTTCTCCGATATTAAATAGATTAGAATGGTTCAGCAATTCTTTGATTTAATCAAATATGGAGGACCGAGACATAGCTTTGATCAACCAGTACGGTGTTTAAAATAATTGCACACGTCTGTCAAACCTTCAAAGGCTAATATCTTCGCTTGCAATAGAGTAATTTGAATGAAATTTTCAGATTATTAATTTTACATCATCTACTTTCGAACTATTATAGCAAGAATGGCTAGTTCTTTATCTAAATCTTACATAATGTGTCTTTAAACTTTCTAAATTATTATGCATATTCAACACTTAGTATGAATAAAGGAGGATTACAGATGAAGGATGCAGAAAGTACCTCATGTGAATAAGCAGACGCCTAGCTACAATATGTCATGGAATGAAAAGCTGAATAATTTTATCGACATACCAATTTCTTTCTGGGTTTCTTTTCTGAGCAGTTACTGGTAATCTTTTTTGTACCCTGTTGGTCCAACATCGATAAAATAAGAGCAAAAATAAACCCACAGCAACATAAACCAGCACCTGTAAAATATAACATAAATCCATAGCAACATAACCCAGTACCTGTTAAATGTAACATAAAACCATAGCAACATAAACCACACCTGTTAAATATAACGTAAAACCATAGCAACATAAACCACACCTGTTAAGTATAACATAAATCCATAGCAACATAAACCAGCACCTGTTAAATATAACATAAAACCACAGCAACATAAATCCATGTTATTATTACTACAGCATATTTATAGTGCGCCCTTTCATATAACATGTCCAGGGGGAATTTACAAAGTGACAATGTAATCATAAATAAACAACAAGATTATGGACATGTTAACTATTGTATACAGAGTCAGTTAAAAGTCTGATTAAATAAATGTGTTTTAAGTTGTTTTTTAAAAGAATATAGAGATGTACAACATCTTAAACTAAATGGTAGATTATTCCATAAAACAGGTGCTTGATATTAACTAAAAGAGCGCTGACCATAAGAGACTAGTTGAACAGTTTTGGGCTTTAAAAGTAGTTTATCTGATGTACGTAATGTTGGGCCAGGAGTATAAAATTCTAAATGATCTGAGAGGTAAACAGGAGCTAAATTATTTAAACATTTAAAAGTAAGTAATAAAATCAATTCGATATTTAACAGGTAACCTGAGTAAATTATATAAAACAGGAGTTATGTGGCACCTGTTAAATGTAGCATAAAATCACAGCAAACATAAGCCAGCATGTGTCAAATGTAACATAAAAGCACAGCCAACATAAACCAGTCTGGCTGTCATAATTTAGAAGAGAAAGCCTTATATGGTGAGTCAACGTAGTTTTACAGCTGTGTTGCAGAAAATCTTTCGAGCATTAATGGTTTCATAAAATAATCTTTACTAAATGTTTTAAAATACTTACATGACCAGAATAAAACTTCTAGACCATAGTGTTTGACTATTTTACTTGTAACCAAGTAGTTTATAACACTACCCAGTCTCGAAAACGAGAGAGTAACACCAAAAGCTAATGATAATTCTTTGTGCTGAAACCAAAAGGCAGTTACTCGATCTTGCACAACTGAAAAATAAAAATACAAGGACAGTATTTTATAGCTTGGGATCGTGTGAGAACTATGTTCGTTTTTCAATAATTTGCTTTAAAGGACAATATTGGTGTCAGTCATTATGTGACAGAACTTTAACACAGAGATCATTGCTACAAAAGATGTGTAACGAACATTTGAAGCAACAGGAATTAAGTGACGACAAAAATGACGAACGTGAGTTATCCTTCTATATAACTGACTGAAGTAACGAGCGATAGCAGACACACAGTCGAAATTCATTTTACTGATAATTCCGTTGAAGACGAAAAGTTTTTATATGAGACTGTGAGAGAATATCTGACAATTCAAAAAAAGAATTGGTTGTCACTAGATAAGAATTTAACCAGTTCTATCACACATGTAATAATGGCTAACACCAATATTGTCCTTTAAAGATCTTTAGTAGTTGGATGAAACCAGGGACCTGGGAAAAAATATAAAGCTGAGGCAGACGGGTTAGGCAGGCAGCCCCCCTTTGTCACATACAGGCACAAGGAAAGCCTATTAATATCTGAACATACTAAATTATAAAATGATAACTGTTGGTTATTGTTTGTTTGAAGAAGCTGCAATTAGAAGTGCTGTCTAGTCATTCGGATTAGACAAAAAAAAACCCAATGTTCCATGTACACATTGGCGTGCATGTAAAAGATCCCTTGACATTGGGAATTCGATATAAGAGTATGCCATAGTGCCACTGCCCGGGCTAAATTTCCCTCATAGGACATTGTATGACATATGTCCGTCTTCATTAGCCTAGTATTGTAGCAGAACAGTAGAACGTGAAACCCCATTTCATTTTGCTATTAGAAGCTGCAACCCATTGCCCATTCAATTTCATTTCAATAATGCGCTTGCGTGTAGGGGTCTTTAGCAGTGGAGGGAAACTGGAGGACCCAGAGAAAATCCACGAGGTTGGACAGGCGACCCTACTCTTTGTCACGTACAACCGGGAATCAAAACCCCGCCAGTTGATTCAATGACAGACCGTATGATACAGCGCACATCCAACCCATTGTTTTAAACAAGTTATAACAGAGAACTAAAGACCGTTAATGTATTTATGCTTGTCAAGTGCTACAAGCACATTTTTAGAAGTTCTGGTGCTCCAGATATGAACATTTATTATTATGATGGGATTTAAACCATGGCATTTGACTCAATCATTGATCTAATGACGTAAAGAGAACATGTTAGACTCTTGGTCTCTTTAACTCACTGTTGAAACTGGGGTAGTGACCTATTAACCCAAAACATCGATAATAAAATTTATTGCTGTTGTATGGTTTCGTATATTGATTGTACATGTATTTCAATGATAACTAAGATAGAGAAATGGGGTTTAACATCCACACGACACAAACTAGGTCATTCCGAGACTAACATATGGTTCAATTTTATTTCAATAATTCGCTTGCGTAAAGTGGTCTTTAGCAGTGGGAGGACCCGGAGAAAACCCACTAGGTTAGAAAGGCTACTTTGCTTCTTGACTCAATGACAGACCTTATTAATAAAGAGAAAGAAATGGGGTTTAACATCCACTTGAACTCACCTAGGTCATTTCGGGACTAACATATACGAACAGGGAATCAAAACCATGCCAGTTCATTTATGACAGTAAGCTATTAAGCCAAATAGTGAGCTATTAACCCAAAACATTGACAATAAAATTTATATTTACTGTCTTACATTTAACGAAAACCCCCTAATAAAAACATACATTAAATATAATAACCTACTTCTCATTCCACTGTTGCCGGTACCCAGTAACAGACGACCCAGCAGTAACAACGGAAACATAACAGATGAACCACGCAGACTTTTACTGACAGATACAGCAAATATAATACTGCCACATAATGCTATAGACGCGAAAAACAACGCACCAACTGAAATATAGCAAACAAAATATGTTACTTTATACCAGTAAACGGTTACTCATGACATCATTAACTTTAATGGAATGAGAGAGAGAGAGAGAGAGAGAGAGAGAGAGAGAGAGAGAGAGCAAAATCAAAAAGAGATGGGGTTTAACCTCCACTCGACACAAACTAGGTCATATCGGAACTAACATATGGTTTAATTTTATTTCAATAATTCACTTGCGCGTAGGGGTCTTTGGCAGTGGGAGGAAACCAGGGGACCTGGAGAAAACCCGCAGGGGTAGACAGGTGACCCTACTTCTTGTCACATACAGTTGATTCAATGACAGACCTTATGAAACAACCAGCATGTGCTAACCATTTGGCCACCACCTGAAATGATAGCAATAAAATCCATGGTATAAAGTAATAACGTTGTATTCTACACTACAAATTTTATTGCTATCATTTGATTGCAACCACTGATTGTCACGAATAAACCGTTGCAAAAAGAAACAATATTGTGAAAGTTGATTATCTATAAAGGTTCATCAGTCCAAAAAATGGTTCGATTTCATCAGAGTTCACAAAAATCTGATGAATTTAATATTTCACAACATTTGGCATCCTTTACACAAGATATAAACAAACCAGGACCACCTATATGTGTTGTGTAAAATATTTTGATGGGCCTCATTTAATTTGATTGAACGCAGGCTGAAGTTGTGTAAAATATTTTGAAGAGAGAGAGAGAGAGAAATGGGGTTTAACGTTCACTCGACACAAACTAGGTCAATTCGGGACTAACATATGGTTTAATTTTATTTCAATAATTTGCTTGCGTGTAGGGGTCTTTAGCAGTGGGAGGAAACCGGAGGACCCGGAGAAAACCCATGAAGTCGGACAGGCGACCCTACTCCTTGTCACATACAACCGGGGATTCGAAACCACGCCAGTCAACTCAATGACACACTTTATGATACAGCGCACGCACGCTAACCATTCAGCCATCCAAACCCCCAAATATTTTGAAGGGCCTCATTTAATCCAATTGAACGCAGGCTGAAGTTGTGGGCCTCATTTAATAGAATTGAACGCAAGCTGAAGTTGTGTAAAATATTTTGATGGGCCACATTTAATTCGATTGAATGCAAGCTGAAGTTGTGTAAAATATTTTGAATGGCCTCATTTAATACTATCGAACGCAGGCTGAAGTTGTGTAAAATATTTTGATGGGCCTCATTTAATTTGATTGAATGATTTTAAATGTTTTTTACAAATTTTTAAACAAAGTATTGATATTAAATGAATGTGAAAGAAATTAGTGCTACACAAGATTAAATGATACCCAGATTACAATGTATCAAGCAATGATAAAATATAAAAATATACATGTACAAAAAATACTTGGTTAATGCTGACCAATAAGAGATACCCCTTCTAATTACCTTAATGTTGGTAAGCATTAACTAACTATTGTTATTTACATGTATATATTGTCTTGTTATATTTCATCATTGTTTGATAATGACTAAAGAAGCCTAATGGAAACGTCGCTCAGTAATAAGCAGTAATTGTATTCCATAGAATTGTCACCTGTATATTCCAGTTCAATTACTAACACTGTAATCAAGGTTTCATTTAATCTTGCTATTTAGTCCCAATTTCTTTCACATTCATTTAATATCAAATCTTTGTTTAAAAATTAGTAAAAATTATTTAAAATCATCCAAACTTATCTAATTTGTACTTATGTCCAGTTTAAAGCTGACTGATTAATTTTAATATTGAGTGTCTAAATTACAAGTATTTAATTTCCTGACCACTGTTCAAAAATTAATCATCATACATCAATAATCAGTTGGGTTGTTTATCTTTTTAACAGTGATCAAGAAATTAAACACTTGTAAATTGGAAACTCATTATCAAAATTGAATGGTCAGCTTTAAACTGGACACAAGTATTAATATAGATGGATTTTGGGTGATTTTAAATAATTTTTCCAAATTTTTAAACAAAGATTTGATATTGAATGAATGTGAATGAAATTAAGGCTTGTAAAATTGGACACTCATTATCAAAATTAAAAATGGCCAGCTTTAAACTTGACACGTGCAGAAATTAGATGATTTTGAACAATTTTTGCGAATTTTTAAACAAAGATTTGTTATTAAAAGAATGTGAAAGAAATTAGTGCTAGATACACAATATTAAATGATATCAGGGTTACAGTGTCAATGCCATTGAAACAATGTTTTAAGTTGTATTCTCATGCCAAGCTACGTTGGCTTCAGAAATCCAAGTCTTTTTTAGCTGCAAATAGTCAACTTCTTTTATTTACAGTAGCAACAAAAATGTTTTGAGGTCAAGTATTCTAGTCCACATATACTAGATGCCATAAATTCTTTCATCACAGGTTTTTTTTTTTACAGAATTCAATTCATCAATCACGTTATCTTAAGCTAAAAAAAAAGAGGAAATATCTATTTTGGATATTTTGTTGTTTGAAGGAGGACAGAACGGCTGTAAAAATGGAAGCTGATGTGGTTAGTACTAAAAGGCTCGGGGCTAAAAATGAAAATTAGCTCTATCATAACAATGCCGTCTGCTTGTGGTGGTTGATGTCAAAAGCAGAATATCTCACCAGATAATCTAATACAATAACGCCCGTGTGTTTAATATCACAATATTCCCCGGCAATAAAGTGTTATATTTCTTCCTCTTTTGTTATAAAACGCTTTTTTACTTCTAAATAAAACATCGAACCTTTTAGAACTATGGTACTGAGAACACTGAGATTTTTATTGAGTGGAGCAATGCATTAGAATATATGTTGGACAAACTGTCAATGTTTACTAGCGTTGATTAAAGGGAAATGAAAATGAAATCAAGGAGGCTTCTTATTGCACATTTAGATAGAGAGATATAGAGAGAGGGAGAAGAGAGAGGGAGAGAGAGAGAGACTAGGTCATTTTGGGACTAACATATGGGTCAATTTTATTTCAGTAATTTGCTTGCGCGTAAGGTTCTTTAGCATTTGGAGGAAAAACCCACAAGGTTGGACAGGCGACCCTGCTCCTTGTCACGTACAAACGGGGAACCGAAACCACGCCAGTTGACTCAATGACAGACCTTATGATACAGCACACACGTGCTAACCATTCGGCCATCCAACCCGCATTTAAAGAGAGTTGTCAGTCAATAACCAACCAGCAGCTAATTCATATGAGAAAGAGAGAGAGAGAGAGAGAGAGAGAGAGAGAGTTAGTTTAATGTCCACTCGACACAAACTAGGTCCTTTTGGGACTAACATATGGGACAATTTAATTTCATTGTGCGTAGGGGTCTTTAGCAATGGGAGGAAATTTAAGGACCCGGAGAAAATCCATGAGGTTTGACGTACAGGCGATCCTTCTTCTTGTCACATACAGCGGGGAATCGAAACCTCGCTAATTGACATAATGAGAGAGAGAGAGGGAGAGTAACATCCACTCAAATTAGGAGTCATTTTGGGACTAACATGGCGTATAATTTTATTTCAAGGTTTTTTAGAAGTTTGAATCCCTGCATATATTATGTTCACGAAGAAATAAAAGATTATTTTGGATTTGTAGTCTTCACAGATTTGACAGGTTAATAATAACCATTACAGCATAAAGAGGATTTTGAAACAAAGGGGCATAATTCTAGTTGAATTTTGACCAGCGGTTGCCAGGCAAGATACACCCACATTTTGCAAGAGATGGATATAGAATAAGCTAAAAAAAAAAAAAAAAAAAGAATTTTTCATACAATCAGGGGCCATAATCCAGGAATGTATGTCTGAAATGCGCAAATATAGAAATGGACTCAGCTATATTTTAAGTTTCATTGGTTTTGATCCGATTTTCACGAAATTCAAACTCAACCTCTATTAAGGTGTAACGGTGATATATTCAAACCTTTTTTTTTTAAAAATTGTGACATTTTTGTACAATCAAGGGCCATAATTCAGGAAGTTACAATGCATGAATATCGAAAGGAACCAAGATCTTTGGGTTATAAACATGTATTTCAAGTTTCATCAAAATCGGATCAAAATTGTGACCTCTAGAGGGTCCACAACCTTGATATATCATATATTTACACTATTTGCATAGTAGGGGCAACAGTTTTGTCAAGCAGTTTTGGTCCAATTTTCACAAAATTCGAACTCAACCATCATTAGGTTGTAACGGTAATATGTTTAAATGTTTTTTTAAATCGGATAAAAATGGTTACCTCTAGAGGGACCACAAGCTAAAAACGCCCTTTTTTGTACAAGGGCCATAATTCAGGAAGTTACGATCCGATATGCACGAATATCGATGGGAACAAAGATCTGTGGGTTATAAACATGTATTTCAAGTTTCATCAAAATCGGATAAAAATTGTGACCTCTAGAGTGTCCACAAGCTAAAAACATGATTTTTCGTACGATCAGGGGCCATAATCCATGACTTGTTACGATCCGATACATGCCAATATCTAAAGCTACTAAGATCTTTGGGAGATAAACCTAAATTTTAAGTTTCGTCAAAATCGGATAAAAATTGTGACCTGTAGAGTGTTAACAAACAAATTGTGGACAGACGGACATCCAGACGGACAGGGGCAATGACAATATATGTCCACATAGAATGTGGGCGTATAAAAAAACGTTGAAAATGAATCTGATTCCTTGTGTAAGCGTTGTTGTATTACAGTTTATGTACATGTAACTATGAAATAGTTATTATACTTACATCTTGTACCCATTCTATCAACTAAGATTCCTGCTATTAATACAATTACAGCAGCTCTGTAACAAAAAATATAAAATTTAACGTCCTACCTTTCTGTACCAGGCTTATGCCATACAGTGTGCTATGAGGGAAAGTTTGCCCAAACAAGCTTACTTAGTTTGGCTGACCCTTAGGCCTTTTTCGAAGACGTCATCCCCAGCTCCTGGTCCACAAATCAGATGAAGCAGCTTTCATAGGAGAATGGGTTATTCAAATGCTACTAAGAGCTTCAACTCCCTTTAAATGCTACTAAGAGATGCTACTAAGAGATCCTACTCCCTTCAAATGCTCTTAAGAGATCCTACTCCCCTTCAAAGTCTACTTAGAGCTTCCACTCCCTTCAAATGCTACCAAGAGATCCTACTCCCTTCAAATGCTACTAAGAGATGCTACTCCCTTCAAATGCTAATAAGAGATCCTACTTCCTTCAAATGCTACTAAGAGATCCTACTCCCTTCAAATGATACTTAGAGCTTCTATTCTTTTCAAATACTACTAAGACATCCTACTCCCTTCAAATGCTACCTAGAGCTTCTACTGCCTTCAAATACTACTAAGACATCCTACTCCTATCAAATGCTACTTAGAGCTTCCACTCCCCTTCAAATGCTACTAAGAGATCCTACTCCCTTCAAATGCTACTTAGAGCTGCTACTCTCTTCAAATGCTACCAAGAGATCCTACTCCCTTCAAATGCTACTTAGAGCTTCCACTCCCTTCAAATGCTACTAAGAGATCCTACTCCCTTCAAATGCTACTTATAGTTTCTACTCCCCTTCAAATGCTACTTAGAGCTTCTACTCCCATTCAAATGCTACTAAGAGATCCTACTCCCTTCAAATGCTACTTAGAGCTTCTACTCCCCTTCAAATGCTACTTAGAGCTTCTACTCCCATTCAAATGCTACTAAGAGATCCTACTTCCATTCAAATGCTACTTAGAGCTTCCACTCCCTTCAAATGCTACTGACAGATCCTACTCCTCTTCAAAGGCTACTTAGAGCTTCCACATCCTTCAAATGCTACTAAGAGATCCTACTCCCTTCAAATGCTACTTAGAGCTTCTACTCCCCTTCAAATGCTACTTAGAAATCCTACTCTCCTTCAAATGCTACTTAGAGCTTCTACTCCCATTCAAATGCTACTTAGAGCTTCCACTCCCTTCAAATGCTACTAACAGATCCTACTCCCCTTCAAAGGCTTCTTAGAGCTTCCACTCCCCTCAAATGCTACTAAGAGATCCTACTCCTCTTCAAAGGCTACTTAGAGCTTCCACTCCCTTCAAATGCTACTAAGACATCCTACTCCCTTCAAATGCTAATAAGAGATCCTACTCCCTTCAAATGCTAATAAGAGATCCTATTCCCTTCAAATGCTATTAAGAGATCCTACTCCCTTCAACTGTTACTTAGAGCTTCCACTCCCTTCAAATGCTAATAAGAGATCCTACTCCCTTCAAATGCTACTAAGAGATCATACTCCCTTCAAATGCTACTTAGAGCTGCTACTCTCTTCAAATGCTACTAAGAGATCCTACTCCCTTCAAATGCTACTTAGAGCTTCCACTCCCTTCAAATGCTACTAAGAGATCCTACTCCCTTCAAATGCCACTTAGAGCTTCCACTCCCTTCAAATGCTACTAAGAGATCCTACTCCCTTCAAATGCTACTTAGAGCTTCTACTCCCCTTCAAATGCTACTTAGAGCTTCTACTCCCATTCAAATGCTACTAAGAGATTCTACTCCCCTTCAAATGCTACTTAGAGCTTATATTCTTTTCAAATACTACTAAGACATCCTACTCCCTTCAAATGCTACCTAGAGCTTCTACTGCCTTCAAATACTACTAAGACATCCCACTCCCTTCAAATGCTACTTAGAGCTTCCACTCCCCTTCAAATGCTACTAAGAGATCCTACTCCCTTAAAATGCTACTTAGAGCTGCTACTCTCTTCAAATGCTACTATGAGATCCTACTCCCTTCAAATGCTACTTAGAGCTTCCACTCCCTTCAAATGCTACTAAGACATCCTACTCCCTTCAAATGCTACTTAGAGCTTCTACTCCCCTTCAAATGCTACTAAGAGATCCTACTCCCATTCAAATGCTACTTAGAGCTTCCACTCCCTTCAAATGCTACTAACAGATCCTACTCCTCTTCAAAGGCTACTTAGAGCTTCCACTCCCTTCAAATGCTACTAAGAGATCCTACTCCCTTCAAATGCTACTTAGAGCTTCTACTCTCCTTCAAATGCTACTTAGAGCTTCCACTCCCTTCAAATGCTACTAACAGATCCTACTCCCTTCAAATGCTACTTAGAGCTTCTACTCCCATTCAAATGCTACTAAGAGATCCTACTCCCATTCAAATGCTACTTAGAGCTTCCACTCCCTTCAAATGCTACTAACAGATCCTACTCCTCTTCAAAGGCTACTTAGAGCTTCCATTCCCTTCAAATGCTACTAAGAGATCCTTCTCCCTTCAAATGCTACTTAGAGCTTCTACTCCCCTTCAAATGATACTTAGAAATCCTACTCTCCTTCAAATGCTACTTAGAGCTTCTACTCCCATTCAAATGCTACTTAGAGCTTCCACTCCCTTCAAATGCTACTAACAGATCCTACTCCCCTTCAAAGGCTTCTTAGAGCTTTCACTCCCCTTCAAATGCTACTTAGAGATTCTACCCCCTTCAAATGCTACTTAGAGATCCTACTCCCCTTCAAATGCTACTTAGAGCTTCTACTCCCTTTATTTTTACCCAGAGGTTTAACTATAAACATGTATCATGTTTCATCATCTGTCTCCATTATCCCAGTTGGTGCAGAAACCTAAGACATAAAATCCCTTTTAATCTAACATGTGGATTCTATTTTCATTTTGGTCTTACCTGACAAAATGCATTAACTGATTATTCAAGTGAATACCTGCGGACAATGGGATTATATAATAAATGGATTCTCAAGTTAATGAGAACATCTAAAAGGCTTAACTACAGGATGTATTATAATTAAATGAAATGTAATGGAGTTTAACGGCCTATTGTTCTGCTCCGCCTGGGCTAATGAAGATGGATGAATTAAAGCGGAGAGAGAGAGAGAGAGAGAGAGATAGTAGAGAGAGAGAGAGAGAGAGAGAGAGAGAGTAGAGAGTGAGAGAGAGAGAGAGAGGAGAGAGAGAGAGAGAGAGAGATGGGGTTTAACATCCACTCAACACAAACTAGGTCATGTCAGGACTAACATATGGTTCAATTTTATTTCAATAATTTGCTTGCGCGTTGGGGTCTTTAACAGTGGGAGGAAACCTGAGGACCTGGAGAAAAGAAATGAGGTTGGACAGGCGACACTACTCCTTGTCACATAAAACCGGGGAATCGAAACCACGCCAGTTGACACAATGACAAGACCTTACGATACAGTGCTCACACGCTCTAACCATTCAGCCATCCAAACCCCCTAATGCATCTACATATATAAAGTTTAAGGAAAGCCTTGTGACAGGGAGAATCTGGAGTCATCAGTTGAACTATAATTTATAACGTGTCTATGTACATCCAGGCATATATCGCGAAGAGTAAGTTATAATGAAACGGTCCCAATCCTAAACAATCTGAACAACACGTGGTATGATGTATAATAGGTCTACTTACATCCAAGCATATATCGCGAAGAGTAAATTATAATGAAACGGTCCCAATCCTAAACAATCTGAACAACACGTGGTATGATGTATAATAGGTCTACTTACATCCAAGCATATATCGCGAAGAGTAAATTATAATGAAACGGTCCAAGTCCTAAACAATCTGGACAACATGTGGTATGATTTGTGGTACTTGTAGAATTAATACTGCTTTCTATTGTAGTATTCCAACAACCCTGTAAAATAAAACCATCACTCAATATATACCTATCACTTCAGACTGTTAACCCACAATCTTATCAAAATATCTCTCAATAATAGCTATCATTTCCGATTTGGTTAGGTCTAAATATCAAGGCCAACTGCAGATTTGGTCAAAGGTCACAAGATGTAAACAGGGCTAGTGCTAACCCTAACCCACAATTACTTGTGCAGTTGGCCTTAATATTTAGACCTGAGCAAAACGGATGAAAAGCCAATATCCACCTACATATACACATTGGCATGTACTTAAAAAAAATCTTTGACAATTGGAGAGAGAGAGAGAGAAATGGGGTTTAACGTCCACTTGAAATAAACTAGGTCATTTACTATCACGGTTCAATTTTATTTCAATAATTCGATTCCGTGTAGGGGTCTTTAGCAGTGGGGGGACACCGGAGGATAGGTGTCCCTACTCCTCGTCTCGTACCACTGGGGAATCGAAACCACGCCAGTTGACTCAATGACAGATAGGTGTCCCTACTCCTCGTCTCGTACCACTGGGGAATCGAAACCACGCCAGTTGACTCAATGACAGACCTTAACCATTCCCCCCCACCACAAAGTATATGTAAGAGTATAAAAATGAGCATATGCTTGACTCAAAATGACTACCATTACCAAAATGGCAAGTAGTTTGGACTACCTAGCTGCATAACCAACATGGCAAGATTGAAATTGCTCTGGACAGGGGAAAATGTTAGAGAGTAATATCGGAATTGTCTCCCTTGACACATCATAGAAACAGAAAAACTGAGAAAGACAATAATAGAGATTACTCCTGGAAGGGAGAGAGAGAGAAATGGGGTTTAACGTCCACTCGACACAAACTAGATCATTTCGGGACTAACACATGGTTCAATTTTATTTCAATAATTCGCTTGTGCGTAGGGGTCTTTAGAAGTGGGTGGAAACCGGTATGGTATTAGCTTTATAGGATTACATTTTAGATTTGGAAGATTAAGCAGAAATCAGCTTGTTTAAAAGATACATTATGGGAGATTAGATCAAGAGCTGGTAGTTCTAACTATTATAGTTAAAAACTAGATAATGTAAAGGGAATTTGCTGAAAATGTCAGTCAAATTGATCCACTATGAACCAAGATTTTAGCGATTGAATTTTTGGCATAGCCTCGATCATCATTACGAAAGTCAGTAGGATAAAAAACATAGTCTCGATTATCCATTTCATGATTTAATTATGAATGGAAGTTGAACAGCAAATCGAAACCTAATCCAATAAACATCACAGCCTAGCGATGCCATCGAGAGTTGATTATGCTCTGGATAAATCAATTAATGTCTAATTTAGATAACATTTCAGGCATAATGTATGTTTAAGCAGAAATCAGCTTGCTTAATAATTTAACCTTACTGTGTCGTCAATGGAACTGTCAGACAGTCAGACATACTGGTATACACTATTGGGTGGGGTTGAGGTGTCTCGTGGGTTTTCTCCAGGTCGCCCGCCCCGGTTTCCTCCCACTGCTAAAGCTAGTTACTGAAATAAAATTGAATCATATGTTAGTCTCGAAATGACCTAGTTGTGTTGAGTGGACGTTTAACCTCATTTCTCTCTCTCACACATACACCATTGACACTATTTTTAGACAAGAATTCGATGCTGAAGACACTTGGGGCTGGAGTAATCAAGACTAGAGATTCACACACATATTTAACCTACCTCCTTGTCTTGTAGTTCCGTTTGTATAGCACTAGGCATATCAAACGCATAGAATGATCCAAACGTCAATAAACAGTTGCACATTAAAATAGAAAACCTGTAGAAACCTAAAATATAAATTACAAAATTAAATAAAACACTATTTATTTATAACAATTACTATGGTTTATTTCATGGGGACATTTCAACAAGATATCACAAGTCAATCTCATATCAGAGAGAGATAGAAATGAAATGAAATGAAATGTGGTTTTATGGCACGTCAGCTCCAACCGGGCTATATTGCGCCAAACTTATGGAGAAAATTACAAGACAGGCTAAACTATATCACAGAAAAACATTATATGCATAAATAAAAACAATATCACAGTTAATAAAATTAAAAATAAAATACACCTTTTATGCATATAAATATTAAATACAAAAATGAAATGATATATATATACAATTAAAATTTATTATAAAAACCTGTCTCCTTTAAAAAGTCTAACACTTTAACATATAAACCCGGTTGAGCAAACATGTGATGTAGTGACTGACAACGGTAAAAATTTGATCTAATATCCTTGAAATGCTTGCACTCAATCAAAATGTGCTTAACTGTCAAAGGAACATGACAGTGTTCACATTCTGGTTGAGGCTCTCGCTTTAAAATGAAAATATGAGTTAAAAAAGTATGACCAATGTGAGAGCGACACAAAACAACTTCATCTCTCCTGTTAGTTATATAGGAGTTGGGCCAGTCTCCTAAGAGAGGCTTAATGTGAAGAAGTTTGTTTGTGTCTGTAAGATCCCAAGACCGTTGCCAGCGGTCATATATAAAACAATTAATGGACGATTTAAAATCGGTGAAAGGTAAAAGAAATTGTGATATGGGAAGATCTAAAGCAGACTTGGCAGCTAAGTCTGCTTGATCATTCCCTTTAATATCAACATGACTGGGGAGCCAGCAAAGGACGGTGTCCTTGCCGTTAAACTCGTGTGATAGTAGCAGACGATAAATGTCTGCTACTAAAGGGTGTACAAGCTGCTTATTATTTATTGCCTGTAAAGAGGACAAAGAATCAGTAAATATAATGTGTTTTAAAGATGAAGAGGATTTAATGAACTCCAAAGCCTGAAAGATGGCCTGGAGTTCAGCAGTAAATATAGAAGCAGCAGGAGGAAGACGAACAGAAATGGTCTCAGATGGCGTGACAGTAGCCGAAGCTACCCGATCGCCATCTTTGGAACCATCTGTATAAATTGGAGCGTAATCACCATATTTAGACCTTAACTCTCTGAAGAGAGACTAAAACACCGTGGAACTAGTATCTTTCTTTTTGTTTTATGTAAGATCGAGATCGATCCTGGGAGGAGATATAGACCATGGTGGTGTCTCAAAGAAAGGGGTTTTCGCAATACTGCCTTGACTGATACCAGCCTGAGACAAAAGGGGTTGAATGCGAATACCGAATGATGGAATAACATTAGTCTTCAGTAAATATAGATGTTCATGATAGGGTCTCATATCAGAGAGAGAGAGAGAGAGAGAGAGAGAGAGAGAGAGAAATTGGGTTTAGCCTCCACTCGACACAAACTATGTCATTTCTGGAGTAACTTATGGTTCAATTTTATTTCAATAATTCGCTTGCACGTAGGCCGTAGGGGTCTTTAGCAGTGAGAAGAAATCTGATGACCCCCCACCCCCCCCCGGAATTAAATATCAACACAAATAGAGGATATATACTTAATAACGACTCGTGAAATCTTGTTTTATATGATTATGATCTAGGGGGGTTGGATGGCTAAATGGTTAGCACGTGCACGCTGTATCATGAAGCCTGTCATTGAGTCAACTGGCATGGTTTCGAATCCCCAGTTGTATGTGGGTTTTCTCCGGGTCCTCCAGTTTCCTCCCACTGCTAAAGACCCCTACGCGCAAGCGAATTATTGAAATAAAATTAAACCATGTTAGTCCCGAAATGACCTAGCTTGTATCAAGTGGACGTTAAACCCCATTTCTCTCTCTCTCTTTGATTATGATCTACTTATTAATTGCCATTCAAGGAAAAAATTACACGATTAGTTAATAAAAACCGTGAACTAAAGTAACTCAGTGTAACCAGGTCCAGGATTCAATCCTGATGCTGGCCAAGAAATTTTCCGGTGTGGTTTCCCCTTTTCAAATGTCAGTGGTACAGGACCTGACAAGGACAGCTGTCTAGTTGTTCGGATGAGACGAAAATCCAAGGTCCCGTGTACACATTGGTGTGCACGTAAAAGATCACTTGGCATTTGGAATTTGATATAAGAGTAGACCGTAGAGCCGCTGTTCGGGCAAAATTTCCTCATAACACACACTGTATTGTGTATGACCGCCTTCATTAGCCCAGTTGGAGCAGAACAGTAGGACGTTAAAACCCATTTCATTTTTCATTTCTGGCCGAGAAAGTTATTTAGGAGTGTATATCCTGGCTTCCCCTTCCAAAATATCAAGTGGTTCATTTAGTTGTCTCACAGAGTGGTTTAACGTCCACTCAACACAAACCAGGTCATTTCGGAACTAACATATGGTTCAATTTTATTTCAATAATTCACTTCTGTGTAGGGGTCTTTAGCAGTGGGAGGAAACTGGAGAAAACCCATGAGGTTGGACAGACGACCCTACTCCTTGTCACGTACAACCGGGGAATCGAAAATCTGCCAGTTGACTCAAAGACAGACCTTATGATACAGCGCGCATGTGATAACCATTCGGCCATCCAACCCCCCAGACAACTCGGACCAAAGACTACTGGGACAAAGACCAGTTGAACCAACCAATACTCCACCCAAATGAAAATAAATTTTATTTATATAAAAATACTTGATTAAACTTACGTAATTCTCTTTGGCTAGCCATTGTGGTTAAATCTACTTTTATCTAGTGATCAATCTTATGTGGGGAGAAAAAAGGAATAATAATTATTACATTTCATTTTATACAGTAATATTAAATACAACAAAAATAGCTATGTGAAGTTTCATCTTAAACATAAGTCTAGGAACAGGGTTCCCGCGGCTTCGTCAAACATTTTTTCAAGGATATTCAAGGATAAATATACGTCAAATTCAAGGATTTTCAATGACATTTTTTAGCCTAAAGTTACAATTTTTCATCTTAAAAATAACCAAAACATTACCAACTATCATTATAATCTCATATTTAAAAGGAATTGAAGACATTTGAAACAAAATTAAGGATCTCAACTGAAATTAAAGGATATTTTCCTATTTCCACGAAATTCAAGGATATTCAAGACCTTGAAAATGACATTTTAAATTTAAGGATTTTCAAGGACCACGGGAACCCTGAGGAACCGGTGGGGGGTAGCAGGGCTGGAGATTCTGTGAACCGTCCATTTTTAGGCAATGTATTTCCGTTTTTCGGGCACAAACATCAGAAAATGAGACCATATATCATTCTGACAATTCGGATGACAAAGAGAGAGGGAGAGAGAGGGAGAGAGATATGGGGTTTCACGTCCATGACACAAACTAGGTCATTTTGGGACTAACACATGGTTCAATTTTTTATTTCAATAATTCACTTGCACATAGGGGTCTTTAGCAGTGGGGGAAACTTGTGGACCCGGAGAAAACCTAAGAGGCTGGACAGGTGACCCTACTTCTTGTCACGTACAACTGGGGAATCAAAACCATGGCAGTTGACTCAATGACAGACCGTATGATATAGCGTGCACATACCAGATATAATTAAGGTGGTAGACCGAAGAAAAGGTATAAAGGTATAACATTGTGCCTAGGAAGTCATAATAAATGTCCTTTACATTATGGCTTGGAAATTAAATTGTGTATTTTGTACAAGGTTGGGGTGTTTTTGATTACAATATCTAAATATCTTTACAGGGTTTTTGTTGTTGTGTGATGATCGGTCCTCATGCACTTATTAATAGAACACCGTCTCTTGTCACACAACTTTATAACTCATAGGTGAATAATAGCTATTGTAACATGGATAGGAAATCTTCCTTTGTTCTTTTCGTTGTATAAGCAGATTGTTTTCCCTCTAGTAGATTGGGTGGAGCTTAACCGTGCATTAACTAGACATGTTCAATGTTATTGCACTCTTTTGCAGGTTTACACTAGTTTTAGTAGAAATTATATAGAGAAGTGGGGTGGGTTTTCTGTGCAATAACAACAAGCATGTTGAGCAGTTGTCAATGTTACAAGTCATTTATAGCAAGCTTCATTCGTTAATAGGTTTAACATCTCGATCTACGGTCTCGATGTTGAAACCTGTTAACTCATGAAAGCAGTGTTATAACCCTTTCGGAGAGAGAGAGAAATGGGGTTTAACGTCCACTCGACACAAACTAGGTCATTTTGGGACTAACATATGGTTTTAATTTTATTTCAATAATTCGCTTGCGCGTAGGGGTCTTCAGCAGTGGGAGGAAACAAGAGGACCCGGAGAAAACCCACGAGGTTGGACAGGCGACCCTACTCATTGTCACGTACAACCGGGGATTCGGAACCATGCCGGTTGACTCAATGACAGGTCGTATGATACAGCACGCACGTGCTAACCATTCGGCCATCCCCCCCCCCCCCTAAATATAACTTAAATAACTCATTCTCTATAATACACAGGGCATGATCTTTCAATACACCATGGATCCATGAATACACATATAAATAGTCTCTTGTGCATGTTTATAACCAATAACTGATGCTTTATAAACCATAGTCTCTTGTGCATTATATGTTTATAACTCATAGGTGAATAATAGCCAATAACTCATGTTTTATAATAATACACAGGGCATGGTCAACACCACATATAAAAAATAGTCCCTTGTGCATTACATGTTTATAACTCATAGGTGAATAATTGCCAATAACACATTCTAATGTGTCTCACTGTACAGGACGGAAGTATTCCCTGTTACCACTTCATCATAGTAAATCTCAGTGATTCTCAACCAGTGTGCCGCAAGATCTTTCTAATTGTGTCGCGAAATTTTGAACGGCACACTAAGAAAATGGAAAAAAAACAACCAGTGATCCCAATTGAGTATTCCCTGGTGTCTACTAATAAGTTCATAGCTGTGTTTTTCTTTATTTAGTTTGAGTCATTCTGTGTGTCTATGACTAGTCTCTGTCTACGGTTGTATGCCGTCTATGACTTACCATCTTCTTATTTTGCAAAATTCAAATATTTTTCATATATGTTTAGCGGCATGTGGTCATAACGGCCACAAACAGGTTTGGTCAAAACGGCCATACTTTAGTCATAAAACGGACAGACATTTTGGTCATAACGGCCAATAAATTTTGTCATAATGGCCAAAATATTTAGTTGTAACGGCCAAACATTTTTAATTTAACAACCCAAGCCAACCCGGAAAATTACATACTGTAAAGTGTAATTGTAATTCAAGGTAATTAAAAGAGGTGAGTACTAATTAATTTAATCAACTGATTGGATAATCCCTAATTAGGTACTTCACACCCTCTGATCTGATTAGGTGATATATGAGAAAAACATTAATTATTTATTTTTTATCAACTAAAGGTATTTAGCCAGGTGTGTCGCTATTTTTTCATGTGTTCCAAGGTGTGCCGTTGTCACAAAAGGTACGAACCACTGGTATATCTCATAGGTCAAGATATATTTGTGGTTTATCAGATCTCAAATGTAGACAAAGCTTTCAGGTACATGTTTTTATAACAGACACAGAGTAAGGCAATTCCATGACTACCTGAAACTCATTGAGAAATCATGAACTGTCAAAAAGTGACATAAATTCCTCTTTCAACTTATTTACCAAGAGCTAGTCTTGAGCTAAAACCATTCCTATTTATTTGTCTTTTACTTTACATTATTTACAAAACCCCATAGTCTATATTCTCTCTAACTAGTCAACACCGTACGACCAGCATCGTAGTGGAATTATTTCTTGAAAGTTTATCAGTTTCCCGCCACGAGCACCTGCATCCGGCGCCCCGGTAGGTCATGTTCTTAGGTCAAAGGTTGTACATCCGGGTAGGCGTGTCAATACAGAACACGCATAAAGTCGAACAGCGACAAGAGAGAACCAAGACGTCAACAAGTGGCATTATTTTGGCCTTTGAATAACTACAACTGAGGCTAGGTCACTTATAACAATGTTGTGAAAACACGGGACAGAGGTAAATATGAATTTATTCATTATTTATATCGGTTTAGACAAAGTTATGTACGTACCCTTGAGAGTTGTTGATCAAGGATGGTATAGGGCTTACATTGAACGAATACACTATGACTTATATAATAATATTAATTGGCGAGCTAATCCAGGGTTTACGATACTAATAAATCGACTAAGAATATATATTTTTTATATATACTTTAGTAAATATTTATTCTCTGTTTTATTGGGAGGTATATAGGTATTTTTGTCATCCATATATCAAGAAATACCAGTGAAATGTCTGATGATAAAAGATTTGCACATTAGAAATATCAGGTTACCTACAGTTCTACATACACGCCCCTTGAATGATTAGTATTTAGGACACCTTGGTGTATTGTAACTTATACATAGATAACATCTATACATAATGATACATTAGAAATGGTTTATTCTAACATCAAAGTCCAAGCATAATGATTATAATAATATATTGGATTAGTCAGTGTTGAGGGAATCATTTTATTTATCAATTAAACTGATCCGACCCCGAGCTCACAAGGCACTCTCAGGCTTACGTTAAGAATTTACTCAAAATTGTTTGCGTTATTTTAACTAAAATATAGCCCTTTATAAAACTTTTCTTGTTTTAATGTATCAAATACATCAATAAGAAACTATGTGCAAAGTTTTTTGTGTTTCCGGATGAAAGATATTTCTCATAAACTGTGATTGGAAGTTGAGTAAATTCTTAACGTAAGTCTGAGAATGCTTTGTGAGATTAAGGGCAGGTTTCTGTTGAATTTTTGGAAATTGCAATGTTTTAAATTTTTTGGACACTGCCGTGGACAAAAGCCACAAGAAAACTGAACATCAAACGACAAATCACTGATCGTTTGAAGGATTTTGTATCCATGGAAATTTATAATATCATCAGAATTAAACAGTTGAAAGCAATGTCAGTCCAAATGTGATTCTGTTCCGTTAGGGGGGGGGGGGGCTGGCCGAATGGTTAAAGTGTGCTCATGGAATCATAAGGTCTTTCACCGAGTCAAGTGACATGGTTTCGATTTCCCGCTTGTACGTGACAAGGAGTAGGGTCTCCTGTCTTAATTTCGTTGGTTTTCACCAAGTCCTCCGGTTTCCTCCCACTGCACAAGCAAATTTGTGTAATAAAAATATACCACATCTTAGTTTATTTCGTGTGGACTTAAACCCCATTTCTCTTTATCTGTCTTGTATTGACAACTTTAGTCAAATCAATTATCTGTCATTTCTAAATTATATGAACTCTTTGAATCTACACCACTGACACAGGAAAACCACACTGGAAAATCCAGGGGAGCTGTGTCAGCCAACACCTCTTTGTTAGTGAGCCATTGCCTTAGTTAGTGAGCCATTGCCTTAGTTAGTGAGCCATTGCTTTAGCCTTAATTGGTGGGCCTTAGCTTTAGTGAGCCATTGTGTAAGGCTTTGTGAGCCATTGTGTTAGCCTTAGTTAGTGAGCCATTGCTATAGCCTTAGTTAGTGAGCCATTGCCTTAATTAATAAGCCATTGCTTTAGCCTTAGTGAGCCATTGCTTTAGCCTTAATTAGTGAGCTATGGATTTAGCCTTAATTAGTAGGCCTTAGCTTTAGTGAGCCATTGCGTTAGCCTTAGTTAGTGAGGCATTGACTTGGCCTTAGTGAGCCATTGCCTCAGTTTCTGTGCCATTGTGTTAGCCTTAGTAGTTATTGCCTTAGCCTTAATTAATGTGTCATTGCCTTAGCCTTAATGAGCCATTGTCTTAGTTACATGTACTGAGTCATGAAATGTTGAAAACATTTGACATTAGTCAAATCAATCAATTGTCAATTCTAAATGAAATGATAAAACCCATTTGTATTGGGGTGAAAAAGAAAGTCGCGATTTGGGTAGCTGATTTACGCAAGTCATTGACTTGTTTCCACATCCCGTGAATAAAATATTGTTTCAATTTTTTAAAAGTAGCCATTTAATTAAATCTGATGAAGTTTATTGATTTGGTTAGAACATCTGGCTTTATTGAAACCTTCATGTTAGAGATCAAGCCAGTACACATGTGGAGGGTTGGATGGCTGAAATGCAAATGCAATGGGGTTTAACGTCCTACTGTTCTGCTCCTATGCTGGGCTAATGAAGACGGGCATACGCCAAACAGTGTGCTATGAGGGAAATTTTGCCTGGGCAGCGGCACTATCGCCTACTCTTATATCAAATTCCAACTGCCAAGGTGGATGGCACCATACAGTGGATGGCTGAATGGTTAGCACATCGCAATGTATCATGAGGCCTGTCATTGAGTCAACTGGCGTGGTTTTGAATCCCCGGTTGTACGTGACAAGGAGTAGGGTCGCCTGTCCAACCTCATGGGTTTTCTCTGGGTCCTCCGGTTACCTCCCACTGCTAAAGACCCCTACATGCAAGCAAATTATTGAAATAAAATTAAACCATATGTTAGTCCTGAAATGACCTAGCCTGTGTCGAGTGGACGTTAAACCCAATTTCTCTCTCTTTCTCTCTCCGTACACATGTTCTTATTCTTAAAAAAAATATGTTATATACTATTTAAAAATATATGGCCAATCATTCTGTTTTGACAGTTGTTATGCATGGTTGAATTAAGTAATAAATATATGTACATGTGCATTATACATGATATTTATGTGAATTAAGTAATAAATTTATATATATGTTATTTATATGAATTGTCGAATATAAGGGATTGACCTCATAAAAGCAATATACATGAAAAGTCTGATAAAAGTAGTGTAACTTATCCAGGCACAGAGAGAAAGAGAGAGAAATGGGGTTTTAACGTCCACTCGACACAAACTAGATCATTTCGTGACTAACATATGGTTTAATTTTATTTCTATAATTCGCTTGCGCATAGGAGTCTTTAGCAGTGGGAGGAAACCGGAGGACCCGGAGAAAACCCACGAGGTTGGACAGGCGACCCTACTCCTTGTCACGTACAACTGGGGATTCGAAACCACGCCAGTTGACTCAGTGATATACAGGTACGGTAATCTACACCTGTAAATGATGATACAATTGATGATGCATAAGTTCTGATGCGTACATTCATATCTGTATTCACATAAACAAACATTATGCAAGAGCTAAAACTCAATATTGCAGGTCTTTCTTTAGGCCTGAAATGTTATACATGTATAAACTATTAATTAGACATTTATTATCATGCAAAAAACCTTAATCAACCCTCGATGTAATGTAAATAATATTTCTTTTTAAATATAATATTGTAAATACTCTTTTAAACATACATTATGCAAGAGGTAAATCTGTCTATTGTAGGTCTTTCTTTAGGCTTGAAATGTTATCTAAATTATTAATTAGACATTAATTAACCTATCCATACCATAATCAATTCTAGATGGCATCACTAGCCTGTGATCTTTAGTGGATTATGAGCCGATTTACTGCATATATAAACTTTCCTTCACAATTTAATGATTGAATGGATAATCAAGACTATGCTGTTTATCGTACTGGCTTTAGTAATGATAATTAAGGCTAGACGGAAATTTCAACTGCTTAGTTCTCTGTTGCCTTTACATTACCTAGTTTTTAACTATTATAGTGATAACTGCCAACTCGTTATCGAATCTCCCATAATGAATCCTTAAATATGCATTATGCAAGAAGTAAATCTCCATATTGCAGGTCTTTTCTTTAGGCCTGAAATGTTAAATAATTAATTAGACATTTATTAACATGAAAAAACCATAATCAACTTGATGCCATCTTATCTGTCCGATTTTCAATGGATTTGAATCCGATCTGCTGTTCAACATCTGTTGATGATTAAATGCAAAAGTGGATAATCAAGACTTTGTTAATCAAGACTTTGCAATCAAGGCAACAAAGATTTTAAAATAAGGTTTTCTTGGCTTAGAGTGGAGCAATTTGACTGAAATTTTCGGCATATTCCCTTTACATTATCTAGTAACTAGTATTGTAGTGAGAACTGCCAACTCTTTGTCTAATCTCCCATAATGTATCTTTAATTTTACAAATCAACAGTTTATTTATAATGTAAGAAATTGTCATTGTTGGATGCTATGTGACCAAGTGTCATAGCAGATTAGGGTGGGGGGGGATCATGGCAGTCACCCGGGTGGAAATATTCCCCTGGGCTCTGGTTTATAATACCCACTAATTATAACTATGCCCTCCCCTTTTTTTGCACGTATATTTCTGCTAAAATTTTAATTATTAAATGAACTTAATTTTTTTATTGCTTCCTTTCTTCCGTCAGGAAAACAATCCAAATTTATGACTACCAGTACTCAATGTGGAGTGGGTCAGAAGTGTCTTTTCCTCTGGGAGATAAGGACCCATGCTCTGCTCATAAATTGAAATAGAATGAGGAAGATTTTGGTTAGACAGTCGTGTTACAGCCTGCTGTTATATCGAATTCCAACTGCTAAGGGATCCTTTATTTATACGCTGGTCCTCGGTTTTCATACCACCCGAACGACTTTGCACAGTTCCTTGCCAGGCCCACTGTTCTGTTCTACTGACAAGGGGAGGGAGGAACCATGCCTGAATATCTCGCCCGATACCCAATCTGGTTAAAACACAGATCCTATTTCGTTTCTTTTTTATAGTTCAAAATTTCGTTTTACTTGTCTTTACTACACTTGGATCTGGAAGAATTGTTCTTTAACTCGTGTTCTGAATGGTGTCAGGGATTAGCCAATGAAACGATCTGTCACGGTGAGCTTTAGGCGTGTTTTGCACGGAACTGTGGGTAATCCACTAGTAACATCAATGCTGATTGGTTAATCAAATGTCTGACATCATAGGGTCATAAGTCGGTCTTTTGACCCCTGACGTGACCTATCGCTATAACTTGTCAGATCTTCATGTAGTGTAGGCCATCGAAAGTATAAAAAACGAAACGAAATATAGATCTGTATTTTAATCAGATTGGCCCGATACCAGGATCGAACAAGGAACCTCCGGGTTAG